GACCAGAGACAGGAGGAGGAGGTGGTTGCTGCTGTTGCTCCTGTTGCGGCTGCGACCGCTGCTCCTCCAGCTGCGGCGGCTGCTGCTGCTCCTGCTGCTGTGGCTGCTGCTGTGGCTGCTGCTGCTGCTGCTGCTGCTGCTGTTGCTCCTCCAACCACTGTAGCTCCAGCTGCTGCCGCTCCAACTCTCTCTCCTCTCGCTCCACCTCTAGCTGCTCCTCACAGGCACGACAAACACGGGCCTGGTGTCGGGTCGGGTAGGGGTGGGGGAGAGGAGTAGTGTCCGGAGCGGTGGTAGCCCCAGGACCGCTCTCCAAAGAACCAGTCGCACAACCCCCACAGCCAGCACCACTAGAAGTAATAGGGTCCGTCCCAGGCTCTCCAGGTCCAGCAGAGGGTGCAACCCCAGTCTTAGCACCCCTAGGGACAGCTCCACTAACACCAGCTCCCTGAAGACTAGAGTCTCCTGCAGTCACGGGCTCAGCTCCAACTCCAGCACCCCTAGAACCAGGACCTCGCACATGTACGCTCTCTGGTCCAACTCCAGCACCTCTAGAGCTAGCACCTCCATGGTCCTCGCCACGAAAACCGGCTCCCACAGGGTCTGTTGTAGGCTGGGAGGAGGACTGCAGGGAAGGAGGCTGCACCTGAGGGGCTACCAAGGGGGGAGGGGTAGCGTGGGACACACCTGACGGGGCGGGACCAGGGGGGGGAGGCTGTACCGGGGGAGCAGGAGGGGGAGCTGAAGTTCGGAAGAGAGGGGGAGGAGGAACCGGGAGACCTCGACAGGGGTACCTGACGTAGTAGGGGAAAGACTCGTCGAAACGGACGTCACGAGAGTCAGAGGAGTCCTCAGGGAAACCAAGGAATACGCAAGGAACAGCGCGAGGCGAGATCCTGTCCGCGGAGGTGTCGCGAACAAGTGCCAAGCAACCCCAGACACGAAAATGCGACGCAGCACCAGAGGACCTGGTCCAAAGACTGGTCGGTGAAAACTCTGGCCGAGAGACACGTGGCCAGAGGTTCAGCTGGTGAGCAGCGTACCGAACCGCATAGGGCCACAGAAAATGGGGGGCACGGGCGTGAGTCATGCAGGTGCGGGCGATCTCCATGACCAAGCCTATGCGGCGCTCAGCAACCTCATTCTGCTGTGGGGACTCTGGAAGCGTCCAGGACTGGCGGATGCCCTGTTCGCGACAGAATCCAGCGAGAACGCCAGAGCGAAACTCACCCCCGAGGTCAGAGTGAAGACAGCTGACACGACGACCACGAGAGTCCGCAGAGGTAAGCAACCACCGGATCAGCGTAGAATTCACGTCGGACTTCTTCGCCAGGGGGAACACTGTGGTGTAGCGGGAGTAATCGTCAACGACCACGAAAAAGAAACTATCTCGCTCAGGGCCAGGGCGTGAGGCGGGGCCCCAGACGTCCAAGTGGAGAGTCTCGAAGGGCTCGGTGGCCGGACGAAGGGAGGAGGAGTGAGGGGTGATGCGCGGCCAACCCTTGACGCAGGGACCGCAGGGTGGCGCAAGCGAAGGCGGCAACGACGGCAAGACACGCGGGATGCCTAATACAAGACGCTGACTAGACATAGCGCGCAGGCGAGTAATGGACGGGTGTCCCATCCGGTGGTGCCACAAAACAGTGGGGTGGGAAAGCGACCGGCAGGAGCACGACGCAGCAACTGGACCAGACACTGGAACTTGGCCAGACACAGCTACCTGGGGAGACGCGGCAACCTGGTGAAACGCGGGAAGCTGACGGGGGACAGTGACAGGGGTCGGGGGTAGTAGCTGCTGCTGCTGCTGCCGCTGCTGCTGATGCTGCTGCTGCCCTCGGGGGCTAGTGTGAAGTGTGTAGAGACCAGAGCCCGGCTCAGTGGTAAAGGTGGCGAGAGGCGCGTACGTGTCCCTGTCAACACAAACCGCAGTCTCGCCAGAAGGCTCAATCATCACACCCACGTGCTGACTCACGAGCGGCCTCACGCCCACCAAGTTCTTTGAGAACGAGGGGACGTGGAATCCAGTCAGAGAACCAGAGGGAACAGCCAGACACGGAAGCGTAGTAGTGTAGCGAGCAGTGACTGGTCCCGAAGTGGGATCAGCCAGTGCTACAGAGACCGGCGTAGGAAGCGGGGTAAGTGTCGTGCGGTCGTGGAAGAAATAGTGCGAAGCTCCGAATTCTAGAGTGAAAGACATCGAAGCGTCCTCCGGAGCAGCTCCTGGACTAGTGTCTACACAAGTACCTACACTAGCAATAGGCACCTCAGCAAGACTAGCACCTAAGCTAACAACACTCGAGTAAACAGAGTCAGAAGCATTAGAGTCAACAAAAACATACATAGCATGAGAAGTTCCTAAGAGATCAACCAACTGAGAAGCTGACATGCCCATCAGAGCGGGGTCGTACGTCTGAACAAGGGGAATCCAGTCAGGGGCAGGGCCGTCAACGCCGTAGGCCAATCGAACCGTGTCAGTAAGCTGAGCAAAGCACTGACCCGGTGGGTGGCTGCGGCCACAAGGCTGGCTGCGGCGGGCACCTGTCAGAATGTGATAGGTGCAGGGAGGGTGGACGACACCGCGCTGCAGCTGACGCTGTCCTGACCCCTGCCCCGAAACCTGCTGCTGTGGCTGCTGCGAGGGGAGGGGCTGCTGCTGCTACTGCTGCTGTCGCTGAGTTAGGTACCACGCCGCTGCTCCACCCCCTGCGGCTGGCAGACCAGTAGGTGGCTGATGAACCCGGGCGTCACCTCCACCAGCTACAGTAGGGGAGTCACCGGCCGCTGCACGAGGTGCTCCTCCAGCCCTTGCACTCCCAGCGCCGCCGCTCGCCACGTCACCCCCACCGCCTCCACCGCCTCCGCCTGCACCCTGACCGCCCCTCCTGCCACTCCTACCCCGAGACCGCGAAGAAGTCGTAACAGCAGCTGCGGTCACATCAGTAGCGGCAGTGGCGAGGGAGGCAGTAAAGGTGGGCAGCTGAGGGACAGTGCACCCGTGGAACAGTGGACGGGGCACAGCACCAGAGGCAGAGGCTACCGAGCGGAGGTTGCTCTCGACGTCCTTGAGGGTCGACTCAAGGGCCTCGATAGTGAGCTCGCTAGGGTGCTTCAGAAGAAGCACGTCACGAAATGAGGCAAGGCGGTAAGGGAGGCTAGTGGCGATGAAATAGATAGTAATCGCCATGGGGGGAGGGAGCAGTGCAAGCTGTGCATCAGTGCAAGCAGCGCGGTAGCTAGAATCGAGCGAGCGCAGATGAGTGATCAAGTCAGCAGTGCGCTCAAACGAGGCGAGGTCAGGAAACTGGACGGAAGGAACATGCGACCAAGAGAGTCAGTGGTGGGAGTAGCGTAGCGGGCCTCGAGTGAAGTGGGTCTCCTCAGACTCAGGGAGGAGGCTGCTGAGGGTGATGCAGGCCGCAACGTCACGCGACTTCCACGCGGTCACGTCAGCACGCTCGTGTGCATAACGGTCACTGTTTGCAGGTGTGGGGTCAGCTGCAAAGGGTGCAGGGTGAGCGGGCTCAGGTAGGCCACCGGAAGCGTGCGCCCACAGAATCTCGTGTGCCTGAACCTGGCTCTCTAGAAGGCGACGCGCACGCAGGAGCCAGACCGAGAACTCGAGCGGCCTACCCTCAGCGTCAAAGCGTAGGACCCTAGGGGTCGCCATAGCGGAAGCGTAGAGGTGGATACTGTTGCTGCCGAAACCCTAAACACCTAGAGGGTCCGAGCAGGGCGCGACATGCTGAGCGAAAGGCGCGATGCGACGGGACAACAGGGCGCGATGCGACAGGACGGTTAGGACGCGACTCAACGGGACAGCAAGGCGCGACGCGACGGGCTGGGGGCGACTCGACGGGAGGGGGAGGGGACGAGACGCGACGGGCAGGGGACGGAGCTACGGGCAGGGGACGGGACGACGGGCAGGGGACGGGACGACGGGCAGGGGATGGGACGGGCAGAGGATGGGACGGGCAGCGCGACGCGACGGGCAGGGGATGGGACGGGCAGAGGACGAGACGGGCAGGGGACGCGACGCGACGGGCAGGGGACAGAACGACGGGCAGGGAGGCGCGTCGAGTAGGTGACAGGACGGGCGGGTGACGGGCACGACGCGACGGGCAGGGGACGCGACGCGACGGCTAAGGGACGGGCGCGACGGGCACTACGAGCGCTACGGGCGCTTCGTGACAGAACGGGCAAGCGCTAAGGGTGCTACAGGATGGAACGAACGGCCACAACGGGCGCTACGGGACAAAACAGGCGCTGCGGGAACGGTAGACTACGTGCAACGGGCGCGAGAGGCTCTAGCGGGATCCCTCAGGATCCTAACCTAGGTGATACCATGTCAAGAATGAAAGTATTGATTTGACTAAGGTTGGTTGGAGTACATAAACCTAACCCTAAAATTTGTACCCCCTATAACACACATCACTAAGACTACAAAACTTGACAAATATATGCCAGTCTCTCCAAATAACATACAAGCTAAAAACGGTGTCGCCATTTGGTAGACAAGCACATTCCATGTTCTTACGGTATTATTTGGCGTCGGAGGATGCTCAGACGTGCCTAGACTCCACTCAAGCTTGCCCATGCCGTATGATATGTTACAATCTTATGACTTGCATGTCATGTACAAAACAAGCCTTATCCGAACGGTACATGTGAAGCTAGACCAGCAGGTAGAGTACGCAAGGCTGCCACCGTAGAAGCGAGCTGCTCAAGGGCGAGATTCCTGATAAGGCACGATGACTGGGCTTGAGCAGTAGCTGTTGCAGCTGACCCACCCGTTCTCCCAAATCCGCTGCTGCTTCTTCTGTCCCTCCACGACCCACCAACACCGAGATCTCGCCCCCTTAGGCTCATAGAGTTGCTATTGGAACTAATGCCTTGAATTCCAACTCGTCCTGGCGCAAACAGAGGAGATATCGTTGCATGTAACAGTGACACTTCCTCTCCAAGTGACGCATCAGCCAGTGATGCCCCTGCTGCTGTCCCAGTCACCCAGCCTGCTGTTGTCCCAGCCACCCAGTCTGCTGCAGCCTTTGCCCCTGCATGGCAATCTGATGCCATGGATGGGACAGCCATGGGGTCTCGGCACATGGGACAGCACACTTCTGCATGTGATGGCATGGCACTGCCACGAGCAGCAACCCCATTAGCAGACCCAGCAGCAGCAACAGTGGAAGGAGCAGAAGGTGCAGCAGCAGCAACAGCACGTGTGAAGTTTGCGTGAAGACGAATGCCAGCAGCAGCATGTGCGCGTTCGGAAGGCGCACAGGAATGATGCGCCAAGTGGCCGATGCATGCGGAGCAGATCACATGGCCCCTGTGACACTGTGATGTGCGGGGGTGGAGAAAAGAGGACATAGGGAAAATGAGTTGCAAAGAGGAACGGAGAGGCGGCTTGAAAGGGAGTACACGTTGGAGTTGAGGCGAATCGCGCCAACTGTCGCAGACAGACAGCACCAGACGCTGGAGTTGAGTATTCTGCTCTGACTGTTGCAGATCGTCAGCACCCGACGCTGTGGCACCAGAAATCATACAGGCTACATTACGGCACATAACACAACACATGAGACATCTAAAAAATATCCAGGCTCCATTACGGTACATGACACATTGTCACAGGAGCTATATTGTAGCACATGGCACGTTACCTGGTAGATGGGAGCAGAAAGCTCCATGCAGCAGACAGGGCACTCCAGAAGCTCCTCCACTGCCGCCCACAGCTGATCCGCTGCTGACTCACCCACCGCCACGTCAGTACCAAGCCTCCCACAGCTCTGCCTCCTGCCGGACCACGTGTCGTCTAGTTTGCATCCGCTGTCGTCTCTTGTGAGGCATGTGTCGTCTTTGAAACACCTGGTGTCATCTTGGTGGCACGCGTCACTTCCCTGGAATGTCTTATCCCCCGGACAACTGTCATCACAATCTGCACGCTCCTTCTGACTTGAGCAGCAAGGCAAATTGCCCTCACCAGCACTCCCAGAGGCATCAGTAGTGCAGTCACCGGCCTTGCCAACACCCCATCCGCCATTCCGCTTCCCCCCTCCCACTGCATCCGCCCTTTTCCTATGCCTACCGCCACCCACTGCTGCTGGCTTGGCTTGGCTGATCATCCCCGTTACTATCCCGTCCGTTATAATCTTCTCTTGTGTCCTCCCCACCGCCTTGCCACACCGCACCAAGCCAAAGCCTCGGGTGCGTCTCTTCCAACCCTGAAACCCTCTAGCTCGCAGGCCAGATTCAGAGGGCCTTGCAGTGAATCTGTGCCTGGGACCCAACGCTCCTGCTTCTTCTGCTGCTTCTTGTGCTGCTTCTTCTGCTGCTTCTTGTGCTGCTTCTTCTGCTGCTGCTTCTGCTGCTTCTTCTGCTCCTGTCACACGTACGGACGGTTCTGCGGGCTTTTCTTCCTCTGAATCCCTTGCCGTTCCCTCTGGTAGGGCACGGTTGCCATCTCGAGTGACGTCATCAGCTCGAGCACAGCCACCAGCTTGAGAGCACTGCTCTGCGCTGCTCAAGAGCCACCGTGCTGCATACGAGTCACCGGATGCCCTCGCATCCGCCGCTCCTTCCCTCCCCTCCTCACCTCCTTCCCTCCCCTCCTCGCCTCCTGCCGTCCCCTCCTCGCCTCTGACCCTCCTCTCCTCTCCAACCTCCTCACCAACACCTGCCGCTCGTCCCTCCGCCACCACTCCCCCCTCCCGTACCCAACCATCCCCCCCACCGGCTCCGCCAACCCCCCTATCTATCCCTCCCGCAGCTGCCTCCCTCCAAATTTCCCCAACAGCGCTCTCTTCCCCCGCAGCAGGCATCTCTTTCCCCGTTGAAGCAGAAGATTCTCGAACGTACGGCTGAGATGCACCGCCACGCGATACGTCGTCAGGGAAACGTGCGTCAACGGGATAAGAGCCTGACGTGGAATGGATTGGTAGCGTGTGACTGACGCTATCCAAATCGTGGCCCGGTTGACCAGCTTGAGAATCGTTTGCGCCTTCGGGGCCATTGCCATCGTTAACGTTAACGCTAACGTTGACGCCTTTCTGGAACCCGTCAGTCTCCGCCGCTCCGTCAGAATTCTCCGCCACTCCGTCATTCATCATCGCGGCGGCGTCGTCGTCGCTGTCGCCGTCTTCGTGATCCAGAGGCGGGAGGAAGAAGCGCACCATGTTTCGGTCGAACCAGCTGTCTACAGGTATCGAGAAGACGACGGTACAGAGACTATGGTAATGAGAGGAACACGGTACTGAGACCGAGGTAGACTGTGGCACCGAGAGCGGAGGGTGATACATGCGCCTTCACATGGTTCCTTCAACAATCTTGGTTTCAGGCTGAATTAACCGCGTTAGTGAGTTCCTCGGCGTCTGATAGCAGCTGGTTTACGAAAGGAAGACAGGATACACTGTGAGATGTGACAGCTGTGACCCGGAAGACGTCAGGTCATGTCTGTGGCATGTCATTGCGGCCCTGGAAGGTGACAGTCTGCGCTGCCAACTGGAACGGGATTCGCTACCCTGATTCGGGTGACAGTGGCGAGATACTCAAACAGGTTTGTGACGACTCGCTGTTGCGGTTGCCGTCAAACAAAGAAATCAGAATATATAGCATCCGAAACAACGCAGCTAAGGACTAGACCAGACCAAGCTTGCACTCTAGGATTATTTCTGCAATCATGCAAGGCCTACTGCTGAGAACAAAACTGAATGAACGGGAATGAATGAAGCATATGACGTGCAGAATGTGGAAAACCGTGGTAGGATCAAAATCGAGATGCTCGTCACTCTACTCTCACTCTACTCTCGTTACTACTTTCACTCGCTTGACATGCCAGTGCCAGTGCCGCTGGAATCTGCCCCTTCATATGAGACGTGCAGCTTCAGAAGCAACAGCAGCAGCACGCACACCACCACCGAGGTACACACAACCACAGCCACCACTTGAAGTGCTGTCAAGCCCACATCACCAGAGCCAACAACCAATGACCCACCAGAGTTACCATTGCTGCTGCAAGTGGCCCCACCAGCACCACCACCAGTGCCACTGCCAGTAACAGCGGAGCTAAAGCTTGCGCTGCTGCTGCCGCCCAGTAACGGGCGGCGTCGTTTGACTGATAGCTGCCAGCCGACCACGCGACGGTGGGCTTCCTCGTCCTCTTCCTCGGTCATGGGAGGAGGGGCAGGCGAGGAGGCTACGGGCCAGAAAGAGTGGAAGCGACGGAAGCGACTGGTGCTGTTACTGCTGTTGCTGTTGCTGGCGGTGGTGGTATTGCAGGCATTGAAATGAGCAAGGCCCTGAGGTAAGGGAACAGTGGCGACGGAGGGGACGGACAGCGTGGATAGGCAGAGAGGAGAGAAGACCAGAGCTGAAGAGTGAGCGCCAGAGACCAACAAGCCGGAACAAAATGAAGGAAGATGGTGCACAGAACAGAAAATTGTGCACAGGAGATTCAATGAGAGACAGTGTGGTCAGGATATGCCTCCAAGACACCTCACAATCATCCACACTCACCAGCTCAAGGTCCGCCACAGTCAGACATGACAAGCTCCCTAGCTTCAGCTCCGGACCTGCTGCCACCACTCCCCCCCTTCCCCCTCCTCCTCCTACTCTCCTTTCCCCTGCTCCTGCCACTCCCCCGCCATCACTGTCACTCTCAGCACACTTGCCCCTGCAGGCCCCCACCCCAGCACTGCCGCAGTGGTGCCTCCCACAGGCCTGGCAGCACAAGTGCTTTTCCCCTCGCCCCTGCTCCTGGCTCTGCTCTCTGCCCCGCTCCACCCCCTGCTGGAACTGCTGCAGGAGAAATGCCACCCACTGAACGGCCCCGCGAGGGGGAGGGCGGGGTAAAGCGGCGGGGGGAGGCAATAGGGGGTGGTGCGCGGTAGGGGAGAGAAGCTGCTGACGCGGAGTGTGTTGCTGTGGCGGCGCGTCACATGCGAGGGGGTTGGATATACGGTCTGATAGTGGGGTAAATCTCAAGACTGGTGGTTGCATTGGTAGCGAATGGGTCAAAGTTGGGTAATCCGCTGGTGCCGCTGCTCCTGCTGCTGATGCGGCTCCTGCTGCTGCCGCCCCCAAGGCAGCGGCGGGAAGGGATGAGAACGAGGAGCCTCCTTTCCGCCGGCCCACACCCGTTCCAGTTGTGGCATCCCTAGCCACACACACTCTCACTGCCGCCACAGCCTGGTGGTCTGCCCTCAACTGTAACGAAGCCCTCTCTCTCTCTGCTGCCGCTCCCACGTCGTCCCGCTCCCCCTCACTCTCGGACAAGTAGTCAACACACCTTTTCCCCACACAAGCTACGCCCCCTTCCTCCTCCTCTTCCTCATCTTGTCCCTCCCCACCCACTCTACTGCCTTGCATCCATCTGCCTGCGACTGAGGCAGCGGATGGTGGGGTGTTAGTACCCGCATTCAACCACTGCAGTAAATGGGACGGCACAGCAAAGGCAGCAGCAGAAGCAGCAGCAGCAGCAGAAGCTGCACCAAACCCCCCTCCAGCAGTCACTGGTGGCCTTGACCCACCCCGATTCTCACTTCCACCCGCTCTGGTTCCGCTAACAGGATGCGCGCTCGCTGCTGCTTCCCGCCATGTACAATTCTGCTCCTGCTCTTGCGCCTGTTCCTGCTGCTGTTGCCAACGCGACCTCCCTTCCCTGCTTATGGTGTTTTCATCAGAGGCCCACGCTGACCCACTGTGCCCCGTTTTACTCCCACCCTGGTCTGGAGCTGCTGTCGGTAGCAGTCCCCCCATAGACTCACGCCCCCTACAATCACCCGCCCCTCGCCAGCTGCTAGGTACGGGCACATCCGGTTTCCTTACAGTGAGCGGGCGCAGATGCAGCTCTTGCGGGGAAATGACGGAGGGCGGAGGGGCAGACGGGGCGGAGAGGAAACTGACCAGGTGATCTGACGTAATCTGATCCTTCGTGTTACTGCTACTGGTGCTGCTTTGACCACTTTTACCGACATAGCTGCTGCTGCTGTTGCTGCTGTTGTAACGGGTGCTAGTACCAACGGCCCGTGAGACAGAACCAAAAAAATTGGATGACAGAGAGGATAGCAGCAGCGACGGTTGCGATGATTCCGCAACAGGAGCGCTGTTTCCGGGACAATACGCTTGACCTGTAGGCCGAGTGACCTTTCCCGGCGAGGACGATCGGCGGACGGCGGTATCCACCTGCGCGAGCTGCGCGCGGATGGCGGAGATGAACTGCTGTCTCCGCGCTTGCGCCTCCTGCGGTCGCCCCCCACCCGCACGCTCTGGGGGGCGGAGAGACACGGCGGAGGAAGTCGCATCGCGGAGCACAGCGCGCTCAAACTCCTGAAGCTGCTCGGGGGGTGAGGAGGGAAGGGGGAGGAACGGAACGAGTTTAAGAAGGAGGAACGGGGATTACCGGGCACATACTAACACACAAGAAAGCGGGAGGATGGAGGTTGATCGATTTTTTATCAACCATTCCTTAATACATCGCACGGGTTCCAAATGAGCACGTGCCTGCATGGCCAATCCTTACCTGCCATTTCAAGGTATCGCATGCAGACAAGAGCACGAGCCTCACGCCCTCCTCGTCCACCCTCGCTGACCCGCCGCCTCCTGACTCGGTGGTATCAGCCGTCGCGAGCTGCTGCCATTGGTGGAAACTGGATCGCAGCCTGCTTACGCATCGCGTCAAGAAGAGGAGATGAGAAATGTTTCTGCCTAAGAATTGTGTATGAGTGAACGACGAAAAAATGCTGAAATGAAGGCCGACAAACTGTTTTCGAAAGACAGAAACCAGACCAGAGAATTGTACACCACGAACGAAGCGACGGAGACTATATGCCTACGCGTATGAGAAAATGCAAGCGAGGCGTGCAACAAGGCTCGATCAGCGTACCTGTCTGCTGAGTCTTGCACCTCCTCCGCTGCTGGAAAGAGAGGGTCGGCCTGCCAGCTGCTTAGCATTGCCATAACGACGAGTCTCTGCTAATGCTACAAAAAATACAAACCCTAAGATGGCTAGACAGTGCTATCTATACGACGATGGCCATGAAAAGTGTTGGCGTGAAAGGAGTCGCTATCGCTTCTAGACTATACCAGCAACTATTCCGCTGTGCCAATAAGTCAGGGTAGATCAGGGGAAGCCAGCTCTACTAAGGAGGATCCCAGCGTCAAGGAACCTAAGAAAGGTCTAGAACACGTCTAGGAACTGACAACCTCCCAAAACTGGTCAGAATCAAAGGCTGTTGCGTGCACGTTGGAAGTCATGACCTCAGCCCTAGTTTCGAGGTAGGACGACCATCCATGGTTGTTTCAAGTTGGAGTTCCTGAGGCAATCTACAGTGCCAGCAGTACAGTCCACTGGAGAGGCTTCAGTAATGGCCGCACAAAGTGGAGCAGTATCTTTGAACAAGTGCCTGAGGCTGTTGCGATAAAATGCAATTCTGCGAGAATGGTTTCGCGAGGCGAAAAAGGTGACGACCTTCCTTGAATTTCGCGAAAGATTTTCGCAAAGACTGGATGATCCCAATGAAGCAATCCTAGTGGCAGTTGCCCCAGCCGCACTTGTGTGAGCAGAAAACCGCGTCTGTGATAGACGTGTTTCTGCCGTTGATCTGCATTCGCCAATCGCACACACGCTCTGGAGAATAATTTTCAGATAAGATAATGAACCGCAAACTGTATAGGTATCGCTGTATTCCAAACGTATAGCAAGTTTATGTTTCAGAATGTGTGTGATTGAGGGATTTTTTTGACATGGTTTTCTCGTTGGTTCGCCTGAAGCTTCTTGCTGCTCAGGGCCAGAGATGCTTGTGATAAGCTAGTATCTCTGAATATGCGGTTCTTCAGACGCATACGATCTTGTACGGCCTATTAGCCAGGTGTTTGAGTATATCAGCTGTCTACATGCGACCTGCATCGTAGCTGCGGTGATTATCTATTGTGCAGTCCGCGTCCGCGTCGTAGGTCCATTGCTCCCGTGCTCGCTTCCAAGGCTCCATAGCAGAATCTTATTCCCCTTTCTGTAACATACAAATCGGTAGCCTGCAGCGTCTCGCTTCTATATTGGTCGCCGTGTCGTACGCTCTCCACTGACTGACCATTTAAAAGCTGTTCCGAGGTTCAAATTCAGTACGGTAGTTCTTTCACTGCGCGGTTCAGGCATCCTGGCTACATGCACCCTTTATTGACCGTTGAGAAGCACCCGAAATGTGCAGAGGTGAGAGAATGTCTGTCTTAAACATGAATAGCATCGTACGGCTGGAAACTTCAGTTATGGGGTGAATTATTTTGCCACGGATTGATCGTAAAGTATCCCATGACTGGCCTAGTGATTGATTCATGTGCTTACTACATCTAATCGGCATGCTCAGAGCATACAGTTTTGCCTGGTCGCCTGGTCATGAAGTTACATCAAATTCGCCTGTTCCACTGTTCCCTTGTGCAGCTGATCGAGAAGCTGAAGCGATGCCACGAGGAGCACCCCATTGCCAAGTTCTGGAACGTGTGCAGCGGCATTAAGGTGGAGCTGGACGCGTGCTTCAGACAAGAGGTAATGCACTCGTTAGCACCTTATTAATTTACAACTCAGCACCTTTGTCGAATGGAAGAAGTCACGCAGGCTGCAGAATAAAGGTTACGTGTCTATGTTGTGCATACCATGGCTGTCTTCCTGTCTCCCTCTCTTGTGCATCTGAGCGCGACTTCCCTGTCTCCAGCTGTCTCTCATGTAGGGAATGCAAGTGGAGCGCAGAACATCGATTCTCAAGGCCAACAAGGGATTTATTATTGAGTAGATTCAAACGTCACTTTACCTGTCTCCTGCTGTCCCTCGTGTGTTGAGTGCAGAAAGTGGAGCGCAGAACGGTGAATCTCAAGGCCAGCAAGGAGTTTAGGGAAAGGCTGAGGGAGCAGAAGGCAGCAGATGAGGCGGCAGGAGTGCCCAGATGGACAGAAACGTTGAGGCAGCAGGAGGGATCTCAGTCATGAGCAGCAGCAGCATTTCTGCAGGGTGGACACCTCCCTGCTGTTGAATATGCTCTCACCTCACCACCCACTGTATCCTTCATGTCCAATCCACAGGCATCGTACCGTATATTGAATTAGGGCGATGTATCTACTATTGCAGTCCTTGGAGAATTTGTACATTCCCCTTTCATAGCACGTTATCGTAGAATCAAATTAAATGTTCAGGGGGTTTAAGACAGCTTACATGCTTCTACCATGATGATCATCTGGCTATGCCAGAACGAAATTCCACAGCTTCTCCCACGGATTCTAAAATCTCAAGAGTGCTGTAATGTACTTCCAAATCTTTACAACTCCATGCGGCCGCTATGAAGCATCGTGTGGTGTAGAGCACTGCAGCACCCACATACACCTGTAGTTGCATCTCAGCTCCTCAGTAGTATCACAACTCCATGGCCACTAAAGAGCGCACTGTACATAACAGCGGGTCATCAGAATCACGGAGGGGCGTGCTGCTGCTGGTGTCGGGCCTCCCAGGCTTGGGTGGCGTCTCGTGGGAGTGGGGAGGGGTGCTGCTGAAGCCCATGGCAAAGCCCATGCCGACGGGTGGAGGTGGTGGGAGCGTATAGTGGGGCGGCAGGTGCATGAGAGCATCTAGCAGCTGCTGCCTGTGATCTGCTGGGGGATAGTGAGAGGGCGGAGGGGTGGTTGGGGTTTCGGAGTGGGGGAGCGAGGGGAAGAATGGGTGCATGCAAGAATTGAGGTTGCAAGGAGATTTATTTTGGATGGTACGGGTGGGTGGGGGCGGATGCGAGGATGAAAGGATTCGAGGGTGCATATGATGGGTACGAGCGTGCTAGCTTGTTTGTTTGCTCGTTTCTTTTTTTCTTCTCATACCTGGGAGGAGGCAGAGAAGGCGAGGCATGTAGGAGGAGAGCAGCGTCAGGACGGGGGGTTGGGGATGGAGGGAGAGGGAGTGGAGGAGGTGGAGGAGGGAAGAAGCGACGAGGGAGAGGTTACAGACACTGCATGGGAGGGGATGGGAGGAGGTGGGCAGGAGGGAATTGGGGAGGTGAGGGGAGGAGAGTTGACGAGTGGGATGGAGAGAAGAGACGGGAAATAAGGGAGGGTTAGGAGCATTGAAGTTGCACGGGAAGCCGGGCGTGGGAAGCATGACAGGCTGTACAGGCGACGAGAGGAATGGTCATGACGGGGACAGCATGCCTTGTGAAAACGAGCGTGATGCAAGTGCTACTTGTGCCCACTCGGAACTGCAGATTCAGGAGTGGTAAAACCCTGTCTCTCACCTGTAGACACGAGAGCAGAGGACAGAGAGTGGAGAGCAGAGAGCAAGCACCATGTCTCTCACCTGTAAGCATGCAGCAGCATTCGCTCTAGAAGCCTCAGCACCATATCTACCACCATCCCCCCATCCACCCTCCCTTCCACCCCTCCACCAGCCGCAACCACTCCTGGTAACCCGGTTACCCCAGCAGGTGCAACACTCCCGGCACCAGCGGCAGCAAGGGAGGGGGGAAGAGAGGGAGAGTGGGGGAGCGGGCAGCAGAGAAGGGTCAGGCAAAGGGGTTGCTGGAGGAGGGATAGTCTGGCTGGTTGCTGTGCTGCTAATGACTCTACCTCCTGTAGCACCCCCATCACTGCTTCCACATGGGCCCCTTCTCCTGCTGCTTGTGCTGCTGCAATGCCAGCAGCAGCACCAGCAGCAGCAGTGGCATCATCTCCTGACAACCACCACTCGTCCCCAACCCAAGCGCCACTCGCTGAGCCTTGCAGCACACGAACCAGCCTCGCCCTCAGGTCCAACCATTTCCCCAGCGACTGGTCCCCTTCCTCTCCTGCACCTTCTCCTTCCACACTGGGCTTGCCTCCAGCATCCAGCGTTGCCAGCAGCAGCTTCAGCTTCTTCACCTTGCCAAAGTGCTTTGCTGCATGCGCCAACGTCCCGCCCCTGTGCGCGCGCACTAGCTCTAGGCTCCTGAAATGGGAGCCTGCTTGCTGAGAGGGATGTGTGTCTGTCTGCGTGTCTGCACGCATGGCACCATGTGAAGCCATGTGCGCTTGTGCATGCATGGCACCATTCATGCCCACGTGCATGTCAGCGGCAGCAGAGTGCGAGCAGCAGCGGAGGAGGAAGTCAGAAAGCTGCGCCACGAGTCTCACCACAGTGGGCTTGTCTCTTAGTTTCAGGGTCAGCAGAAGGTCCAAGTATGGCTGTACAACCACTGCCAATACATCGCTGCTGCTGCTGCGGCTGCTGCTTGCGGTGGCGGCTGCGGCAGTGGTGCTGACAGTGGTGGTGGTGGTGGTGGTGGTGGCTGAAGGGGAGCGGTTGTAGAGTGCGAGCAGGGAGGGTTGGAGGGCGGAGAGCAGCACGAGGGCAGAGGAGAAGGCGTTGACTGCTGCTGACTTGAGCGACTGAGACGAACAGGTCACCAGAGGGATGAGATCCTGGAGTGTGAGCGCAAGAAAGGGCAAGGGCACAAGACAGAGGAAAAGGGGGGGTTGGTGTGAGGGTTGTAAGAGGGCGAGGTAGGGCTGGAGGGTTGGAGGGCGGAGAGCAGCACGAGGGCAGAGGAGAAGGCGTTGACTGCTGCTGACTTGAGTGACTGGGACGGGCAGGTCACTAGAGGAATGAGGTCCTGGGGTGTGGGGAAGAGAAATGATGGAAAGGGGTGGGGAGGAGGGGGTTGTTGCAAGTAAGACGGATTCTTGGCGGCTTGGACAAAAAACGGCGGAATAAGAAGTTGGCGGAAGGTTACAGCATTTGAGGCAGCTCAAAAGTATTCAGGCACAAGGTGAGACATCCCCCAAGGTCTAAACCCCACAGGCAATGTCCCCACCTACCAAGGCCTCATCTCCCCATCAATTTCTCACCTGCAGCTGTGCTGCCAGCATGGGCAGCAAGAGAACAAGAAGCATCGGATGAGCCACTGCCATGCCACGCAGATGCAGCAACATGCTCGCTGTCTTCCTCTCCCTCTTCCTCTCCCTCTCCCTCTCACCTTTACAAGGTCTCACCTGCAGCTGTGTGGCTAGCATGGGCAGCAAGGGAACGACAAGCATCGGATGAGCCACCGCCATGCCACGCAGATGCAGCAACGTGCTTGCAGTCTTCCTCTCCCTCTCCCTCTCCTTCTCTTTCTCCCTCTCCGCCTCCTCTTCCTCCTCCAACTTCCTCTTCCTTCCACTCTCCCTCTCCCCCTCTCCTCCCTTCTCCCCATCCACTCCTTCTCCTCCCACCCCTGTCGAAGTATCAGCACCCAATTTGGTTTCTTGCCCGGAAGAAGTTTCGGGCAGGCAGGACTGAACGAGCTGCTGGAGAGCGCGGGCCAATGAGGAGAGAGTTTCAGATGCCCGGGCGTATCTTTCAGGGACAGCGTGAGATGCCACACGCCCCTTCCAATCCGCCTGTGACGCAGGAAGGTGCCTGGAAAGTGCGTCTGGTGCTGTGCAGTAGAGGCCTGCGAGAAGCTTCCATGCAGCTTCTGCCATGAATTGATGGGTTTGATCGTTTTGCCGGTTGTTGCACTGCTGCTGCTGAGCGAGTCGACACCTGAGGAAGTGTGGAAGGGAGGGGCACCAAAGCAGAAATACTGATGGAACGGAAAACGATTAACATAAACAGCATTCAAGAAGCAAATACCAGCCATAGATTCTTTTTGGGGGAAGGGGGTCCAGCAGAATCTATGGAAGAGGGAAGCAACAAAGGAAGCAGCACTCACAGCTCATTCACAATCGTCTGGCCTGCCCGGGTGCTGCTACCACCACCACCACCACCACCACCACCACCACCACCACCACCACCACCACCACCACCACTTTCAGCATCCCAACCACTGGCATCACTAGCACCAGCATCAGCATCATCAGCAGCTTCCAGGAAGCCACCTGCTCTCCTCAACACCTGCACCAGAACCACCTCCCTTTCATCCGCTCGCCTCCTCTCCTCCCCTTCCTCCTCTCTCTCCTCCTCCCCACTCTCCCCTTCTCTTAAACCTGCACCTCTCCACATTTCCCACATTCCTCCTTCATCTCTCCTGCTTCCCTCTACCTGCTGTTTTGACGTCCCCTTTTGACAAACAGCATACTTGATCAGCCAATCAGATGCTGACAGCTCAGCAGCAACTATTTGAGCAAGCCCCGCTGCTTCCTTGGATGTCAGGACGAAAACGGACGGCTGAGATCGCACCGTAGCGAGCTCGCAGAATTGACCACCACTCCCACCTCTCTCTAGAGCACTTGCAATGAACCCCAGAGCTGCTTGCGCTGACTCCCGCACAGCCCACGCACGCCATACCTCATCCCCACCTTCTTCCCCCCTCACATCCTCTCCAACAGGTAACTTCGAACCGTGCCCTTGTAATACTGAGGGTAAGTCGCAGAGCGCCCCTTGCTGGCAGAGAGAGGAGGCGAGACTGAAAACGGCAGCATCAGGCATGCGTGGGTCAGAGAGGGAGGCATATGCGGCATGGAGCATGCGGGGGAGGAGGAGGAGGCGGGGAGAGGGAGAAAAGGAGCGAGTGCGATTGCGACCGCAAGTTTGACTGTGATTGTGATCATGGCGGTGAGTGTGGTTGAGAGAGAGGAAGGAGCGGAAGCTGGGGTGAGAGGCGGAGGGGTCGAGCAGCAGAAGTGCTTCCAGAGCAGCTACTGCCTTCGCCTCGTCCTCTGCTGTTGGGAGCGTGCCATTCGCCTTGCCTCGCTGCAAGTCCTCTTGCTCTGCTGTCTCCTCCTCCTGCTCCTCCTGCTCCTCCTGCTCCTCCTGCTCCTCCTGCCCCAACTGCTCTGCGTGGCCCTGCTTGTGCTGTCCACGCTTCTCTTCCCCACTGCCCACTGCTTCCGCCTCCCTCCCATCCGCCCCACTCGTCTCGCCTGCTGCTGCGACTTCAAACCCTTTTTCCTCTTCAGCCCTTTCCCCATCATCCCCCTCCTCCAGCCCTACTATGCTTTCCAACACCCCCACAAGCCTCCCGGCCAACACACCGACTCCACTCTCCTCCTTCCCCCAGCTTCCTTCCCTCCCAGTGCCGGGCCTGGTTCCCTCTACGCCCACACCCAAATCACTCTCTCCCTCCCGTTCTGCTCCTACCTCACCCCTCCCTGCACCCAGCAAGGTTGCTTGCACTGCCTGCTGCAGCTGGGTTTTGAACGCAGCGAGAGGGAGAGAGAGGAGGGTGGGGAGGGGGAATGGGAACAAAAGCAGCAAACCACTTGGCTGAACCACTCTTTCTCCTCCTCCTGCCCTTGCTTCTGCTTCTGCCGCTGTCACTGGCTCTGCTGCGTCTTCTTTCTTTTTGGCTGCTGCTGCCTCTGCTGCTACTGCTGCTTCTGTGTCTTGCGTGGTTGGTGCCAGCCGCACTGTGTCCCCCACACCTGTTTCCATCGCCTCCACTCCTCCTCCTTCTATTCCTCCTTCTGCTCCTCCTCCTTCTACTCCTTCCCCTAATCCTCCGCCATCTGCTCTCTGTGTGAGCTCTTTACTCTTCTTCCCTTTTTCACCATCCACATCCATACCTTCTCCTTCTCCCACCTTATCCCGACCATCTTGCCCCTCCACTCCCCATCCTTCACCAAGCAGCAGCACTTGCTCCTTCGTTACAAGGCACACCTCCTCTCCTCTTCCCACCATCTCCTCCCCTCTCTCCGCCATCTCCCCTTCCTCAGCTACCCACACACCTCCCTGCAAAGCCCTCCCCGCCCCTGCCTTGCACAGCACAGGCTTGACTCGCCACACCCTGGCAGAGGCAGTACCTGTAACAGCTGCATCGGGGTCACCATTTGTAGCGTTGGATGCCCCAACAGCAGTGGTTGCAGCTGCTGCTGCTACAACAGGCGGAGGCAAAGCAGCAGCAGCAGCAGCAGCAAGAGCAGCAGCAGCAAGAGAAGAAGTGGGAGTGAGAGGATGCGAGAAGAGCAGCTGGTACAGCTGGTGATATGCGCTCCTTGCAGCATCGGACGCGAGAGGGGAACCATGAGCGATAGCACTCGTGCTGGGAGCAGCAGGAGGAGGAGGAGCGAGAGCAGTTGTTGTGGTGGGGGTTAATGAGAGAGCAGGGAGGGAGGAGAGCAGCAATAGCACGTCCACAGCTGCCCGCACCACCACCAGCGGAAGGAGGACGAGCCCAGGGGGAGCAGCAGATGCGGCAGATGCATCTGTGCCGTCCGTGTGTGCTGCAGCAGATGCATCTGTGCCGTCTGTTTGTGCTGCAGCAGATGCATCCGCACCGTCCGTGCTTGCAGCAGCAGGGGCGAAGAGAACCCACTCTTCACCGTCAGCCCTCCTTCCCTCCCTTATCTGCCCCCATACCCCCTCTTGCATCCCCTTTCCCATATCCTTCCGAATCCCATCCCTCATCTCCTCCCTCATCCCCCCTGCCGTCCCTCCCTCCAGAGCCTCTCGCAACACATTACAGAGCACACACACCATATGCCATGACCCCACACCCTCTTCTCCCTCCCCTCCTCCCTGTCTCTCGCCATCCATCGCGCCTGCCCTCTCCTCCATCTTCTCCTCCTCTCCACCCTCTCTCCTCCGACCCACCTGCATCCCCTCCCCCGCAGCAGCAACATTACAGGCAGCACCAGCAGAAACAGCAGCAGTAAATTCCACATTATCCTCACTGCCAACACCATCACCACCACCCCCACCATCACCACCACCCCCACCATCACCACCTCCCCCCTCTGCTCCTCCTTCCACTTCCATTGCCTGTGCTCCATCTCCTACCCCACCCTCCCCATCCCTCTTCTCCCCCGTCTCCTGCCCACCTTCCCTCTCTCCTTCCTCCATCTCTTCCCCTTCGTCTCCCCCATTCCCCCCATACCCTCCATCCCCCCCTTCGCTCCCCACAGGCGACCAGGGAGGGCGTTCTAAAGCCTCTTCCGCTTCCTCCTCTTTCCCCACATCTTCCCTTTCTTTTCCCCGCTCCCCCTCCTCCGCCCCCCCCTCCCCTTCCCCCTCACTCCGCACCTTCTTCCCCTGACCTCCCAACTCCTCCCCCGCCCTCCTCTTCCCCTCCGCGCCTCCCCTCCCTTCCATACTCCTCTCTCCCATTCCCTCACCATCTCCCCCACTCCCAACACCCCCTACATCTGTCATCTCCTCATCGTGCTCCTCTCTCCTTCCCCCATCTCTCGCCACCATCACACCCCCTACATGCCCTTCCTCCAGTTCTTCCGTTCCCTTTTCTCCATCCTTCTCCCTTGCCCTTCCCCCATCTCCCGAAATGGGGAGGAGGGGCGGGAGGGGTTGGGTGGGCGGAAGGGGGAGGAGCGGGGGAAGGGGGGAGAGCAGTTGGCGGGCCAGGAGGGGGCGAGTGCGGATGAGACAGGCCAAGAGGAGGGGGAGATTGAGCGGGGCAAAGGGGAGGGCGGAGGATCCACGGGCATGGGGTGAAGAGGTTGGGGGAGGAGTGGAGACCAGGGGAGTATGAACGGTTGGTTCCCTCTCACCTTCCTTCTCACCTTCTCTCTCACCCTTCCCTCCGCCTTCCTTCTCACCTTCAGTCTCACCCTCATCCTCGCCTTCCTTCTCACCTTCCCTCTCACCCTCCCTCTTGCGCTCCTCACCCTCCTCCTCACCTTTCTTCTCACCTTCCTCCTCGCCCTCCTTCGCACCCTCCTTACCCTCCTCACCCTCCTTGTCACCCTCCTTGTCACCCTCTTTCTCACTTTCCTTCTCACCCTCTTTCTCACTTTCCTTCTCACCCTCCTTACCATCCTTCGCACTCTCCTTCTCACTCTCCTTCTCACACTCATGCTCTTCTTCCACCTCCTCCCCTCCTTTCTCCTCTTCTTCCACCTCCTCCCCTCCTTTCTCCTCTTCTTCCACCTCCTCCCCTCCTTTCTCCTCTTCTTCCACCTCCTCCCCTCCTTTCTCCTCTTCTTCCACCTCCTCCCCTCCTTTCTCCTCTTCTTCCACCTCCTCCCCTCCTTTCTCCTCTTCTTCCACCTCCTCCCCTCCTTTCTCCTCTTCTTCCACCTCCTCCCCTCCTTTCTCCTCTTCTTCCACCTCCTCCCCTCCTTTCTCCTCTTCTTCCACCTCCTCCCCTCCTTTCTCCTCTTCTTCCACCTCCTCCCCTCCTTTCTCCTCTTCTTCCACCTCCTCCCCTCCTTTCTCCTCTTCTTCCACCTCCTCCCCTCCTTTCTCCTCTTCTTCCACCTCCTCCCCTCCTTTCTCCTCTTCTTCCACCTCCTCCCCTCCTTTCTCCTCTTCTTCCACCTCCTCCCCTCCTTTCTCCTCTTCTTCCACCTCCTCCCCTCCTTTCTCCTCTTCTTCCACCTCCTCCCCTCCTTTCTCCTCTTCTTCCACCTCCTCCCCTCCTTTCTCCTCTTCTTCCACCTCCTCCCCTCCTTTCTCCTCTTCTTCCACCTCCTCCCCTCCTTTCTCCTCTCTTCCACCATCCCCTCTCTCCTCCCCTCCTTTCGCACCCCCTCCCTTCTCCTCTCCCTCACTTTCTCCCTTCTCGTTTCCCCCCTCTCCCTTCTCTTTTCTCTTTGCTTCCTCTTTTCCCTCCTCTCCCTCCTCCTTTCCCTCCTCTCCTCCCTTCCCTTTCTCCTCCTCTTCTCCCTTCTCGCTCCCCTCCTCCTCCCCCATCTTTTCACTCACCCCCACCTTCCTATCCCCACGTTTCTCCTCCACCTCCCCACTGCCAACACTCGTCGCCTCTCCCTGTTGCTGCCTGCAAGCTTGGTTGCTCTGCTGCTGGCGGTACCAGAAGTGCAGGTAAGATATGTAGGCAACAATCTGGCACAAGGAGCAGCATGGAGAATGGGTGGGGGTTAGAGAAGGGAAAGGGTGTTAGGTGGCGGTACCAGAAGTGCAGGTAAGATATGTAAGCAACAATACGGCACAATGAGCAGCATGGAAGATGGGCGGGAATTAGTCCAGGGTACAATATGTATGCAAAAAGACCTTCCTATAGACCGGTGGTCAGGTGAAGTCACGAGAAAACACACAGTGGGAAAGCGTGTTCTGCTCGTCACAGCACAGCACACTGCTAGCAGCAGCAGCAGCAGCAGCCTAGCAGCATAACAAAACACCCTTACATCCTTCAAATGAAAGAGGGGATGTGTGTTTCTCACCGTGGGGATGTGTGCTTCTCACCGTGGGGGTGTGTGTTTCTCGCATCACAGCACGGCACACTGCAGGAAGCAGCAGGCGCGCAGCATCCCATGCCATGGGCAGCTGGTTTATCACCTCCAGCCATCCCACATGAAGCCCACCCCCTGACTTCTTCACTAGTGCTCCTTCTGCTGGTAAGGCTGCAGCAGGTTCCAATCTTGCTGCAACTGCTGCTGGTGCTGCTCCTGGTGCTGCTGCTGCTTCTGCTTCTCCTGCTGATTCCAGGGCCAGCAGCAGCAGCAGGTCTGGGGAGAAGATCGCAGCCAGGCACCGTCTGCTGCTCGCACGTTTGGACTCAACCCGAGAGGCCAGCTTGCCTGCAAGCAACCCCACGATACCCACCACTACACCTCCCTCGGTTGATTCACCCCCCCCGGCTCTTCCTCCTGCTCCCTCCTCTGCCTCGGCTCTCTCTCTCCCCCCTGCGACTATTGCCCTATCGGCCTTTCCTCTTTCCCTCATCTCCCTCGCAACAGCGGCTTGCAGCAGCTGGACCGTGCTTCGAGTGTGGGAGGGGTGGAGAGGCGGAGGGGAGGAGGAGGGAAGGGACGCATCCTCCCAGCGCCACTGCTGGTAGAGTATGGCGCACTGAGTGGTGGGGGCCAAATGAGAGACCACTGCCGGGTTGCTCGAGAGAAAGCCGTGCAGCCATGACCAGGAGGCCGCCACTCCACCCTGGTAGGGACGGGGAAAGGGGGCAGGAAGGAGAGAGTTTGGCGCACTGAGTGGTGGGGGCTAGATGGGCCACCACTGCAGGATCGCTCGAGAGAAAGCCGTGCAGCCATGACCATGAGGCTGCTACTCCACCCTGGTAGGGGTGGCAGGGTGGAGGGAAAGAGAGCGAACCGGCTGTGTGAATGTAGGGGGGAGAGGAAGTGGGTGGTGGGAGGGGAGAGGCGAGAGGGGAGTGGGCCCTCACCTGTGTGTCTATTCTTGTGCAGCAAGTATGTCCCAGAGGGTAGATTTTCACCTTCAGTCTTAGAGGTCGTGGGTTCAATTCTCAGCAGCTGCACTTTCCCTTCTCCTCATGCTCCACATTACATGTCCACACTCCACCACAGTGAAGTGTGGTCACAGTTGGCATTGCCACCTGTCCACTCATCCCACACTCACCTTGCTGGCCTCTATGGTGTGCCATATGCTGTTATGTGGGCTGTTGTTCCAGCCTGGCCAACATGTGGGCTCACTTGCTAGCTTGGCAAGGTTGGCTATCCTTGCCCTCAGCATTGAGGTGCTGCAGCTAGCCTCAAGAGTTCAGCCACATAAATGTGGCTTCCCACTTCACTAGGAATCATCCTTGGACAAGGACCTTGCTCTAGTCTTCAAGACTTGTACCATTTTCTTGCTAAGGATATTTCTTCTTCCTATCGTGCCCTAAGTTCACCGATCCATTTTCTTCATGTATAAGCCCATCCAGAGCAGAGGCACGAAAATCGTGCCTCAAAAGTCACCTCTTTAATTTCTCAAAAGAAAACGTCCCCTCGCTCACCTGTGCGCATATGAGCCCTTCCAGAGCAGACGCGCCAAAGGCTTGTCTCAGCAGCCAGCCCAGCCCGAACTGCCTGTCCCAGTCCCACACCACGCCCCACACCTCCTCCGGTACATACCGCCCCATCCTCGCTTGCCCCTCCCCCAACCCCACACTACCCCCCGCCCCCGCCCCCGCCCCTGCCCCCGCCCCCGCCCCCGTCCCAGCCCCCACCCCTGAGCCTTTTTTCCCCTGCCTCTCTCCCCTCCCGCCTCCCCGCTCCCCCAAGCCCTCCCCCTCCCCCTCCCCCTCCTGTAGCAGCAGCTCCTCCCCCATCTCCGCCTCCAGCCATGCAGGCACATCCGCCACCCCCCCTGCTGCTAAGTCTGCCCCCGCCCTGCTTCCCCCAACCCCTCCTTTCCCTGTTGCTGCTCCCGCCCTGCTGCGCCCTCTCTCTCCTTCCCCAGCAGAAGCTGCTCCATGTTCTAGCCCAGCAGAAGCTGCTCCATGTTCTAGCCCAGCAGTCTCGTGACCTTCTTGCTTCATAGGGGGCCACGGGGAGGCAGAGAGCAGACGGCGCAGGAGGGCTGAGGCCTGGGTGTCCTGCTCGGCTTGCTTCTGCCACGTGGCATGCTGTGATTTCGTCCTGCCATGACAGATAAAAAGGGAGGGAGTGCAGGAGAGAAAGGAGGAAGGCTTGCGATTGGACAGGGTGATTGGCACGATGTCAGTGGCACCAACAGTGCATGCATGCATGATGCTATGATGCATGAATGGAAAGGACAGTGCCCTGATCAACCGCTTACATGGACGGCACATGAACAGTGAGAATAAATGGCTTACACGGATGGCACATGGTGCATGAAGAGTGCTTCTAGCATGCGCTGCACCGTGGGTGAGTGGCAAGACGAGAAACAGGCATTCCCTCCCCCACTCGAAGAGGGCTTGATAAGAGGAGTGGAAGAAGGATGAAGAGAGGCGGGAGGAGGAGGCGGGGAGGGGGGTGAAGCAGAGAGGGCGGTGATGAGGACGGCAGCACAGCAGGTCTGCCAGAAGCGGCGAGCAGCGAGCAGCTTGGGAGGAGGCGGGTGGAGGGCGAGGAGAGGGCGCGGGAGGACCACTGAGGCGAGCTTGAATATCGCTGCTGACAGCTGGAGGAGAGTGGGGGAGAAAAGGACGAAGAGGGGCGAGCGAGGTAGATAAATATTAGTATGATTTTCTGAAGGAAGCTGTTTTGAAAAGGAAAAAAATAAATATTTTGGAAATGAGGAAAATGCTATGATGAGGGGAAAGAGCAGTTGACGATTGGCAGAAAGACAGGTGGTGGGACCAACGATGGACGGACACAGGGAAAGGCGGCAGGGTTGCAAGAACACCCACCTGAGGGCCAGAAACGACAAGCCTTCCCGCCCAGAGGGAGGGCACTGTAGCAGCTCGCACCAGCAGGTGCAGCAGCATTTGCATGGCTGCGTCCTGACCTGGTCCTGGGGACTGTGGGGGGCGAGGGGACGGTGAAGGGGGATGGGGGTTGTGCGAGGAGTTGGGTCAGGAAGGAAGTCGGGGGGAGGGAAACACAAGGCGGCAGCAGCAACAGCAGCATGTGCATGGCTTCGTCCTGAACCGGTCCCCCGGACTGGGAGGTTGGGATGTGTGGGGGCGTAATGATAAGGTAAGGGTCAGTCAGTTTTCAGGTCCTTGTCCCTGAATCAACTTGAGCATCAGTCAAGTCAAATTCTGCAGGTGTTCCCAGCAAAATGACACCAGGTAAAGTCTCCAGCACCGGCAGCACAGCACTGAGAATTCTTGTAAAGCCCCTACCGCGGACAGGCAGCACAAGGGAATCACGGATATCCCCAACAGGATGACTCGAGCTAGAGTCTCCTCCAGCACTGGCAGCACTTGGAGAACCCTCATAACACACCTAATGTGGGACAGAACGACACGGCTACAGCAGACAGGCAGCACAAGGGACTCACGGATATGCCCAACAGGATGACTCGAGCTAGAGTCCCCTCCGGCACTGGCAGTCCCACCCATGTTTCCACCACTCTCACTGGTGGGTGGAAAGCAAGCACCTGGGGGCACAAATCGATCTGTCCTTCAGTCGGTCAAACTCACGGATATTCCCAGCAGGATGACCCGAGCTAGAGTCTCCTCCAGCACTGGCAGTCCCCACGTTTCCACCACTCTCTCTCCCTCTTCCTCCTCCTCCGTGTCCTCCACATCCCCCCCACTCGTACCCCCTTCCTCGCCACCATCCCTTGTCCCTGCACTGCCCTCCTCCCTCTTGGGCGCTTTCCACAAAGCTTCCTGAAGTACGATAGGCAGACAAGGAGGAGGAATGGCACATCGTTAGCGTTGGCAGCAGAAACGATGTGCCATTCCCCCTCCAGGGAAACGAGAAAAAAGGGTTATGATGATTGACAGGGATAAGTTGAAACAGCAAAAGATTGGCATTGGGTGTCATCAAAAGCAACCGATTTGTAGACAAACAACAAGAAGCAGCATCCGATGCGACGGGGCTGATTGTCCCAAGTGTTGAGTACAGCAAACCAGCTACTGATGCGACTCTAGGAAACAGCAATCAAACAACTCAGTTCACGATACCTCAGCTGCATGGCTTGCGAAACTAGTTGGTGACATGACATACCGGGATGGGGTCAAAGAAGAGCACACAGCGCAGCAGATCGAAGATGGTCACACCAATGCCCTCCGCACCCATCGAGGTGACGTTTGAGTTTACTTACAAGTCAGTCGGTCCAACTGAGTGTGCGTTAGGTTAAGAGCAGCTCACCGGGATGGGCTCAAAGAATTGCACACAGCGCAGCAGATCGAAGATGGTCACACCAATGCCCTCCGCACCCATCGAGGTGACGTTTGAGTTTACTTACAAGTCAGTCGGTCCAACTGAGTATGCGTTAGGTTAAGAGCAGCTCACCGGGATGGGGTCAAAGAAGAGCACACAGCGCAGCAGATCGAAGATGGTCACACCAATGCCCTCCGCACCCATCGAGGTGACGTTTGAGTTTACTTACAAGTCAGTCGGTCCAACTGAGTGTGCGTTAGGTTAAGAGCAGCTCACCGGGATGGGGTCAAAGAAGAGCACACAGCGCAGCAGATCGAAGATGGTCACACCAATGCCCTCCGCACCCATCGAGGTGACGTTTGAGTTTACTTACAAGTCAGTCGGTCCAACTGAGTGTGCGTTAGGTTAAGAGCAGCTCACCGGGATGGGGTCAAAGAAGAGCACACAGCGCAGCAGATCGAAGATGGACACACCAATGCCCTCCGCACCCATCGAGGTGACGTTTGAGTTTACTTACAAGTCAGTCGGTCCAACTGAGTGTGCGTTAGGTTAAGAGCAGCTCACCGGGATGGGGTCAAAGAAGAGCACACAGCGCAGCAGATCGAAGATGGTCACACCAATGCCCTCCGCACCCATCGAGGTGACGTTTGAGTTTACTTACAAGTCAGTCGGTCCAACTGAGTGTGCGTTAGGTTAAGAGCAGCTCACCGGGATGGGGTCAAAGAAGAGCACACAGCGCAGCAGATCGAAGATGGACACACCAATGCCCTCCGCACCCATCGAGGTGACGTTTGAGTTTACTTACAAGTCAGTCGGTCCAACTGAGTGTGCGTTAGGTTAAGAGCAGCTCACCGGGAAGGGGTCAAAGAAGAGCACACAGCGCAGCAGATCGAAGATGGACACACCAATGCCCTCCGCACCCATCGAGGTGACGTTTGAGTTTACTTACAAGTCAGTCGGTCCAACTGAGTGTGCGTTAGGTTAAGAGCAGCTCACCGGGATGGGGTCAAAGAAGAGCACACAGCGCAGCAGATCGAAGATGGTCACACCAATGCCCTCCGCACCCATCGAGGTGACGTTTGAGTTTACTTACAAGTCAGTCGGTCCAACTGAGTGTGCGTTAGGTTAAGAGCAGCTCACCGGGATGGGGTCAAAGAAGAGCACACAGCGCAGCAGATCGAAGATGGTCACACCAATGCCCTCCGCACCCATCGAGGTGACGTTTGAGTTTACTTACAAGTCAGTCGGTCCAACTGAGTGTGCGTTAGGTTAAGAGCAGCTCACCGGGATGGGGTCAAAGAAGAGCACACAGCGCAGCAGATCGAAGATGGACACACCAATGCCCTCCGCACCCATCGAGGTGACGTTTGAGTTTACTTACAAGTCAGTCGGTCCAACTGAGTGTGCGTTAGGTTAAGAGCAGCTCACCGGGATGGGGTCAAAGAAGAGCACACAGCGCAGCAGATCGAAGATGGTCACACCCATGCCCTGCGCACCCATGTGACTCGCACCCATCACCCCTTCCCTTGCCCCTGCCCCTGCTCCTACTGCCTCGCCTTCCTCCTGCTTCACCCCTTGCTGCTGCTGCTTCTGAGCAGCAGGTGCAGAGGGCAGGTGCGAGGGGCAGAGGGTGCTGCAGTCTGCTGCCACCACTGTGGCACACCAGGTCACTGCCTCCGTCTGTTGGGGGAATCGGGGGGTAGCAAGGGCGGGGCAGGGAGGGGAGGGACAGCAAGGCAGGGGAATGATGAGGGAGGAAGGTGTGTAGAAGCAGATTCCAAGGAGCAGGTTCAGCCGGTGCTGCGAGGGGCACAGGGTGCTGCAGTCTGCCGCCACCACTGTGGCACACCAGGTCACTGCCTCCGTCTGTGGGGGGTGAGGGACCAGGAGCGGGTAGGAGGAAGGGGTTCAGCGGGAGGAGGGGAGGGCGACTGTGGTGAATCACATGAATGCAAAGAAGATAGTGAGGGAAGCCAAGGACGTGCGTGCATGGAAATGCAAGATGCGAGCACACTCACACACATACAAGCACACGCACACACATACAAGCACACGCACACACATACAAGCACACGCACACACATACAAGCACACGGCAAACATGCATACACCGATGCAGGGCATGCATGGGTTGCACCCACATACCTGCACGCATGCTGCGTCAAAGAGAGCCTTGGTCAACTGCTCGCTCTGCTCCCCCGCTTCATCCCCTTGCTCCCCTCCCCTCCGTCCCTCCCCTTTCCCTTCCTCCCCATCCCCATGCCTGTATGTATGCCCCTGCCCGTGAGCACACGCGGATTCACCCGCAGCAGCGGCGGCGGCACCAGCAGCAGTAGCAGTTGATGCAGCACCAGCACCAGCACCGGCAGCAGCACCACCAGCACCAGAAGCTGCAGCAGTGGCAGCAGAGAGGTGCAGCAGCAGCAGAGTGCGGACGAGCGATGCGAGGCGGCAGTAGGCCGGCACGAGGAGGCGCTCTGGTAGGGCTGAGGCCGCGAGTGGCAAGGGGTGGAAGAGCTGCCGACACAGGTGGAGGGGCGTTATGAGGCCAGAGAGAGAGCGCAGGAGCCTGGAGGGTGGGGGTGGTGGGGAAAGGAAGGGCGGAAGGGATGAGGAACCAACAGCAGCTCCACCAGAAGCGGCAGCAGAGAGGTGGAGCAGCAGCAGAGTGCGGACGAGCGATGCGAGGCCGCAGTAGGCCGGCACGAGGAGGCTTTCTGGCAGCGCTGAGGCCGCGAGTGGCAGGGGATGGAAGAGCTGACGACACAGGTGGAGGGGCGTTATGAGGCCAGAGAGAGCACGGAGGAGCCTGGAGCAGGGGGTGGGGTCGCCAGTGGGACGGGGAGGGCAGAAGGCAGGGGAGATGGAGGGGGAGAGAGAGAGGAGTGAGGTGGTATGGCAGGGCAGAGGCTGCGAGTGGCAAGGGATGGAAGAGCTGGCGACACAGGTGGAGGGGCGTTATGAGACCAGAGAGAGCACGGAGGAGCCTGTAGGGTGGGGGATGGACAGAAGGCAGGGAAGGGGGAGGGGTAGGAAGGGGTGAGGCTGCGAGTGGCAAGGGATGGAAGAGCTGGCGACACAGGTGGATGGGCGTTGTGAGGCCAGAGAGAGAGCGCAGGAGCCTGAAGGGTGGGGGCAGGGAGAGAAGGGTGGGGCCAGGGAGAGAAGGGTGGGGGCAGGGAGAGAAGGGTGGGGGCAGGGAGAGAAGGGTGGGGGCAGGGAGAGAAGGGTGGGGGCAGGGAGAGAAGGGTGGGGGCAGGGAGAGAAGGGTGGGGGCAGGGAGAGAAGGGTGGGGGCAGGGAGAGAAGGGTGGGGGCAGGGAGAGAAGGGCGGGGGCAGGGAGAGAAGGGTGGGGGCAGGGAGAGAAGGGTGTGGGCAGGGAGAGAAGGGTGGGGGCAGGGAGAGAAGGGTGTGGGCAGGGAGAGAAGGGTGGGGGCAGGGTGGAGAACAGAGAGGAGTGAGGTGAGTCAAAGAAATATATTTGAAGGCGTTTTGGCACGGCTGAGTGTGCGAGTGGCAAGGAGTGGAAGAGGTGTCGACACAGGTGGAGGGGCAAAGCAAAGCAACAACGTGGTTGCCACAGCAGACACATGAGCGCCTGGTCAAGCTTACTTGGTTGCAAGGGATGGCTTTTGAGTCGACTCAAAAGGTGTCGACAGAGGTGGAGGGGCAAAGCAAAGTAACAGCGTGGTTGCCACAGCAGACACATGAGCGCCTGGTTAAGCTTACTTGGTTGCAAGGGATGGGAGGTGCGGGTTGAGCGTTGGGTCCACTGAGAACTCCTGATGGCGCACAGAGGAGAGGAGAAGGGGCAGAGAGGAGAGGGGGAACATAACAAGAAGTGAGGAAGAGGGAGAAGAGGTGAAACAGAAAGGGGTGTTCTGAGATGTCTCAACAGGGATGGAAGGTGGGGTTGAGCGTTGGATCCACTGAGAACTCCTGATGGCGGACAGAGGAGGAAGGAGGAAGGGCAGAGGGGAGGGGGAACATAACAAAATTTGGAAAAGGGGTATTTTGAGACGTCTCAACAGGGATGGGAGGTGGGGGTTGGATCCACTGAGAACCCCTGATGGCGTGCAGAGGAGTGGAGAAGGGGCAGAAGGGGGAGAAAGACAGGGGAGAGGGGAAGAGAGGAAAGTGGGAAAGGGAGATAGAATTAGGGGAAGGGAGAGGGTGGGAGTTTGAGATGAAAGCATGGGGAACGGGGAGATAGGAAGGAGGAAGGGAGTTTTGGCCTCACCTGCAGCACTCTGCCGATTTCAACCTCAGGATACACCCTCCACGCCCTCTCCCTCCCCTCCATCCCCCTTTTCCCCTCTGCCTTCTCTTTCCCCTCCACCTTCTCTTTCCCTTCCCCCTTCTCCCTCCCATCCGGCCCTGCTTTATGTTCCACCCCCACCCCATCACTCATTTTCCTTTCCCTCCCCTTCCCTCCCTTCCCTTCCCTCCCCTCGCCAACTCCCTTCCCTTCTCTTTTCCTCTCTTTCCCTGCTCCCGCACCCTCCGCTCCCTCCCCCTCCCCCCCAGCCATGGCCCTGACTGCTGCAGCCAGCACACGCATGTGGTGAGGCGACTCCTTTCGAACCTCCCACAGCAGAAGAGTCTGGGAGGGATGAGAAAGGGGCACGAGAAAGGGAACAGAAGGAGCGGAAGGTGTGCAATGTGAACTGCATGAAACAATCTTCGTCCCCTCCCCCTCCCCCCCAGCCATGGCCCTGACTGCTGCTGCCAGCACTCGCATGTGGTTGGGTGACTCCTTTCGAACCTCCCACAGCAGCAGGGTCTGGGGAAGCGAGAGGCAGACAGGGATACGAGTAGAAGGAAATATATTAGCTGACATCACCCAGCCAGCCCCCCCTCTCTGCCAGCACTCGCATGTGGTTGGGTGACTCCTTTCGAACCTCCCACAGCAGCAGGGTCTGGGGAAGCGAGAGGCAGACAGGGATACGAGTAGAAGGAAATATATTAGCTGACATCACCCAGCCAGCCCCCCCTCTCTGCCAGCACTCGCATGTGGTTGGGTGACTCCTTTCGAACCTCCCACAGCAGCAGGGTCTGGGGAAGCGAGAGGCAGACAGGGATACGAGTAGAAGGAAATATATTAGCTGACATCACCCAGCCAGCCCCCCCTCTCTGCCAGCACTCGCATGTGGTTGGGTGACTCCTTTCGAATCTCCCACAGCAGCAGGGTCTGGGAGGGATGAGAAGAGGGACAATGGAGTTAAAGGTCTTCCCTCCCAAAGCCACTATCTAAACCCTGGTATGGCATGGTGCGTGGCATGGCACGTGGCATGGCATGGAATGGCATGGAAGGGCGAAGTCACCTTGATGACGAAGGCAGCGTATACAGGACGGATGTTGATGGTCTGAGCCGCTATCTCCATCGGCAGTGAGCTCGGGGAGAATGTGGCATGGAATGGCATGGCATGGCATGGCATGGTGTGGACTGGCATGGCATGGCATGGCAATGCATGGCATGGTGTGGACTGGCATGGCATGGCATGGCATGGCATGGCATGGTGTGGACTAGCATGGCATGGCATAGACTGGCATGGAAAGGAGGGAGGAGTCACCTTGATGACAAAGGCAGCATATTCAGGGCGAATGTTGACGACCTGAGCCACTATCTCCATCGGCAACGTGCTGCCTCCTTGCTGCGACCCCTTTGCCTGTGCATACACACATGGCATGTGCGTGGCATGGGATGGGATGGGCATATGAGGTGCGTGTGAGGGGCATATGATGAGGATGTTGACGACCTGAGCCGATATCTCCATTGGCAACGTGCTGCCTCCCTGCTGCGACCCTTTCGCCTGCTCACACACGGCATGTGAGGGGCATATGATGAGGATGTTGACGACCTGAGCCGCTATCTCCATTGGCAACGTGCTGCCTCCCTGCTGCGACCCTTTCGCCTGCTCACACACGGCATGTGAGGGGCATATGATGAGGATGTTGACGACCTGAGCCGCTATCTCCATTGGCAACGTGCTGCCTCCCTGCTGCGACCCTTTCGCCTGCTCACACACGGCATGTGAGGGGCATGTGATGTGATGAGTGGAATGGAATGTTGACGACCTGAGCCACTATCTCCATGGGCAACGTGCTGCCTCCCTGTGACGAACCCTTTGCCTGCACATCCACGGCATGTGAGGGGATGGGATGGGCATATGAGGTGCGCGTGAGGGGCGTATAAGGGGGCGCGTGTTGGCGAGTTGAGCCGCTATCTCCATCAGCAATGTGCTGCCTCCCTGCTGCGACCCCTTTGCCTGCACACACATGATGGCACATGCATGGCACACACATGATGGCACATGCATGGCACACACATGATGGCACATGCATGGCACTCACATGATGGCACATGCATGGCACACACATGGCACACACATGGCACACACATGATGGCACATGCATGGCACACACATGGCACACACATGATGGCACATGCATGGCACACACATGATGGCACATGCATGGCACACACATGATGGCACATGCATGGCACACACATGATGGCACATGCATGGCACACACATGGCACACACATGATGGCACATGCATGGCACACACATGATGGCACATGCATGGCACTCACATGATGGCACATGCATGGCACACACATGGCACACACATGGCACACACATGATGGCACATGCATGGCACACACATGATGGCACATGCATGGCACACACATGATGGCACATGCATGGCACACACATGGCACACACATGATGGCACATGCATGGCACATGCATGGCACACACATGATGGCACATGCATGGCACTCACATGATGGCACATGCATGGCACACACATGGCACACACATGGCACACACATGGCACACACATGATGGCACATGCATGGCACACACATGATGGCACATGCATGGCACACACATGATGGCACATGCATGGCACACACATGGCACACACATGATGGCACATGCATGGCACACACATGGCACACACATGATGGCACATGCATGGCACTCACATGGCACACACATGATGGCACATGCATGGCACACACATGGCACACACATGATGGCACATGCATGGCACAAACATGATGGCACATGCATGGCACTCACATGGCACACACATGATGGCACATGCATGGCACACACATGATGGCACATGCATGGCACACACATGGCACACACATGATGGCACATGCATGGCACACACATGGCACACACATGATGGCACATGCATGGCACTCACATGGCACACACATGATGGCACATGCATGGCACACACATGGCACACACATGATGGCACATGCATGGCACACACATGATGGCACATGCATGGCACTCACATGGCACACACATGATGGCACATGCATGGCACACACATGATGGCACATGCATGGCACACACATGATGGCACATGCATGGCACTCACATGGCACACACATGATGGCACATGCATGGCACACACATGATGGCACATGCATGGCATCACCGAGCAGGAGCTATCACTCTTTCCAGCAGCAGGCGAGCAGAGTGGGCGTGCACAGTGGAGGAGAGCCATGGGGGGAAAAGGCACGCCCAGGGTTCAGTTGGGCTTCACCACACCAGATCACACGCTCACCTTGATGCTCAGCAGGTGCTCAAGCGTGCGCCAGTCAGCAGCTGTGGTGCCCCGAGTAAGAGCTATCACTCGCTCCAGCCTTATCCAGATTGCCTGTCCCACTCCCACCCATCACACACTCGACACTCACCTTGATGCTCAGCAGGTGCTCAAGCGTGCGCCAGTCAGCAGCTGTGGTGCCCCGAGTAAGAGCTATCACTCGCTCCAGCCTTATCCAGATTGCCTGTCCCACTCCCACCCATCACACACTCGACACTCACCTTGATGCTCAGCAGGTGCTCAAGCGTGCGCCAGTCAGCAGGGGTAGTGCCCCGTGTGAGAGCTATTACTCGCTCCAGCAGCAAGCGAGCAGAGCGGGCGTGCACAGTGGAGGAGAGCCAGGGTGGGAGCAGAGACGCCGCCTGCACTCTCACCAGGGGGTACCCCGCCCCCAGCGCCAGCAGCCTGGCGGTGAGAGGTGGAGAGAGACGGGAGAGGGGGAGAGAGAGGTGAGAGGGAGAAAGGGAATGGGGCAGCAGATGGGCAGAGCGGGCGTGCACGGTAGAGGAGAGCCAGGGGGGGAGCAGAGAGGCTGCCTGCACTCTCACCAGCGGGTACCCCGCCCCCAGCACCAGTAGCCTGGGGTTCAGAGAGGCGGAAAGGGGGAGGGCAAGGGAAGTGGAAAGACTTGTTGTTGGGTGGGGCTGGAGCAGCAGGGGAGCAGAGCGGGCGTGCACAGTGAAGGAGAGCCAGGGTGGGAGCAGAGAGGCCGCCTGCACTCTCACCAGCGGGTACCCCGCCCCCAGCACCAGCAACCTGGCGTACGGAGAGAGAGAGGGGGAGAGGGTGATAGGGAAGGGATAAGAAGTGTTGTTGATTGAGTAGAGCTGGGGTAGCGGGTGAGAGCTATCACTCGCTCCAGCAGCAGGCAAGCAGAGCGGGCGTGCACGGTAGAGAAGAGCCACGGGGGGGAGCAGAGAGGCCGCCTGCACTCTCACCAGGGGGTATCCCGCCCCCAGCACCAGCAGTCTGGGTTACAGAGAGAGGGGGGAAGGCGAAAGAAGGGCGAGGGAACGGCAAGGGAAGGGGAAAGGCGAGTTGATGGGTGGGGCTGGGGCAGCAGGCGAGCAGAGCGGGCATGCACAGTCAAGGAGTTGCCTTCCTGCAACCCCTCCCACCTGATCAGGTTCCTTTCTACTCCAACCTCCCCTCCCACCTGATCAGGTGCCTTGGGTTCTCGTGGCTGCTACCAGAACTGACCATCTGCTGAATGCTTGTCTTTCTCCCTACAACCACCCATGCCTGTCTCCCCACCGCCTCCCAACCGCCTCCCACGTCCAACCCTATCCCATGCCTGCCGCCCACGCACCTGATCAGGTGCCATGCCATGCTACCCCCCCCCACACGCACCTGATGAGGTGCCTCGGATTCTCCCGGCTGCTGCCGGAGCTGACCATTCGCTGAATGCTTGTCTTGCAAGTTACACCCACAAGCAACCACCCTTGCCTCCCCACTGCCTCCCTCCCACCACTTGATATCCGACTCAATCCCCTCCCTGCTGCCACTCACACACCTGATGAGGTGCCTCGGATTCTCTCGGCTGCTGCCAGAGCTGACCATCCGCTGAATGCTGCCCACAAACAGCCGCTCTATCTCAGCCTCGGTTTCCGAACCTCCAAACCGATTCAAGCCGACGCTTCCGAGCCTCTCTGATGACGTGGCAGTGTCTGACGCCTGTGGTAGATTGACAGAGGGAGAGCAAGAGGAGGGGAAAATGTGGAATAGGGGTAAGGAGGAGAAAAGGGGATAAAAGGCATCCCCATCCCCAGGCACCCCCATCCGCACATACTCCCCCCTTGACCCTGTCCTTAGAATTAGCAGCCCCATGCTCATCTGCCACTCTCTATCCACTCACCCCTTTCTTTGCAGCAGCAGCACCACCACTCACGCTCCCCCCACCAACGCTGCTGGTGCTGACAGCAGGGGAGCGAGGAGGGCCCCCTGCTGCTCCCGCCCTCCCCTTCACCCCTTTCCCTCCAGAGTCTGCCGAATCAGCTGCAGCCGAAACCCTAGAAGCAGCAGCACCACCAGGACCAGCAGCAGCACGAGCAGCAGTAGCAACAGCAGGTGGGGCGGCGGGAGGGCGGAGCAGGGCGGGTGGGGGAGCGACGAGGGAGTGTGGCAGGCAGGCAGAGATGGCCGAGACGAAGTCCCTGCAGGTGTCCAGGTCGACCCAGTGGCGCGGGCCACAGGCATCGCTGAGATAGGCCTGGAAGTAAGGGGAGGGGTAGAGGTGGGAGCAAAGGTTGCAAAGGGAAAAAGGGAGCAGGCAGGCAGGCAGGCAGGCAGGCAGAGATGGCAGAGACAAAGTCCCTGCATGTGTCGAGGTCTACCCAGTGCCGTGGACCACAGGCATCGCTGAGATAGGCCTGGGAGGATAGGGGTAAAACAGAACAAGGGGGAATAGGTTTTGAGGTGCTGTAAGCAAGGGCTCAAACAACGAAGTCCCTACAGATGTCCAGGTCCACCCAGTGGTGCTGCCGGCACTTGGAACTGCATGCTGCCGCTTTGCTCAAGCCTATCACGTGGGAGAGACGTGTCATGCTGTTGCACAAGCCTATCACGTGATAGAGCACCAGCGCTACAGAGCAAGCAACAGAGCAACAGAGCAAGCAACAGAGCAACGCGCAAGCAACAGAGCAACAGTGCAAGAAGCAGAGGAAAAGTGCAAGCAACAGCTTAACAGCGTGACAGCGCGAGAGCGCGACAGCGCGAGAGCGCGACAGCGCGAGAGCGCGACAGCGCGAGTGCGCGACAGCGCGAGTGCGCGACAGCGCGAGTGCGCGACAGCGCGAGTGCGCGACAGCGCGAGTGCGCGACAGCGCGAGTGCGCGACAGCGCGAGTGCGCGACAGCGTGAGTGTGCGACGGCGCGACGGCGCGAGTGCGCGACAGCGCGAGTGCGTGACGGCGCGAGAGCGCGACGGCGCGAGTGCGCGACAGCGCGAGTGCGCGACAGCATGAGTGCGAGAGTGCGCTAGTGCGCGAGTGCGCGACAGCGCCTGTGCGCGACAGCGCGAGTGCGCGACAACGTGACAGCGCGAGTGCGTGACAGCGCGCATGTGCGACAGCGCGAGTGCACGACAGTGCGAGTGCGCGAGTGCACGACAGCGCGAGTGCGCGACAGCATGAGTGCGAGAGTGTGCGAGTGCGCGAGTGCACGACGGCGCGAGTGCGCGACAGCGAGAGTGCGCGACAGCGCGAGTGCGCGATAGCGCGAGTGCGCGACAGCGAGAGTGCGCGACAGCGAGAGTGCGCGACAGCGAGAGTGTGCGACAGCGAGAGTGTGCGACAGTGCGAGTGCGTGACTGCTCGACTGCGCGAGTGTGGGAGTGTGCGAGTGCGCGAGTGCTCGAGTGCGCGACAACATGAGTGCACGACAGCGCGAGTGCGCGACAGCGCAAGTGCGCGACAACGTGACAGCGCGAGTGCGACAGCGCGAGTGCGCGACAGCACGCGTGTGCGACAGCGCGAGTGCACGACAGCGCGAGTGCGCGACAGCATGAGTGCGAGAGTGTGCGAGTGCGCGAGTGCACGACGGCGCGAGTGCGCGACAGCGACAGTGCGCGACAGCGCGAGTGCGCGATAGCGCGAGTGCGCGACAGCGAGAGTGCGCGACAGCGAGAGTGTGCGACAGTGCGAGTGCGTGACTGCTCGACTGCGCGAGTGCGGGAGTGTGCGAGTGCTCGAGTGCGCGACAGCGCGAGTGCGCGACAGCGCGAGTGCGCGACAACGTGACAGCGCGAGTGCAACAGCGCGAGTGCGCGACAGCGCGCGTGTGCGACAGCGCGAGTGCACGACAGCGCGAGTGCGCGAGTGCACAACAGCGCGAGTGCGCGACAGCATGAGTGCGAGAGTGCGCGAGTGCGTGAGTGCGCGACACCGCGAGTGCGCGACAGCGCGAGTGCGCGACACCGTGACAAGCTATAGCGCAACAGCGCAACAGCATGCCTCAGCAGTTGTGAGAAGAGTAACCCAAGGAAAAGTACGGGCCAACGGGGGCGAGCAGCAAAGGCGCGCAGCAGCTGCCTGCATGCAAGCGCCTGTAGCAGCACTGGCGTGGCCTTCCGTGACGCCCTCTCCCCTCCCGCTCCCAGCCCCAGTTCCCCTCCCACACTCAAGGAAAGCAGCAGGCCACTCAGCAGCGCAGCTTACCTCTGGGAAGGCGACGGGCCAGCGGGGGCGAGAAGCAAAGGCGCGAAGCAGCAGGCGGCATGCAAGCGCCTGTAGCAACACTGGAGTGGCCTTTCGTGGCGCCCTCTCCCCCCCTCCTCCCCCTCCCCCTCCCCCTCCTCCTCCTCCTCCTCCTCCTCCTCCCCCTCCTCCTCCTCCTCCTCCTCCTCCTCCTCCTCCTCCTCCTCCTCCTCCTCCTCCTCCTCCTCCTCCTCCTCCTCCTCCTCCGGGTCCTCCTGCTCCTCCGCCTGCTCGGTCTCCCCCTCCTGCTGCGGCTGTGTCTTCTGCATCTGGTGACATCAGCACTGATAGGAGCGTCTGGGGGAGCGGAGGAAGCAGGTGGGAGAAGGAAGCGGAGTAGGGAAGCGGCAGACAGAAGGATGAATCTGAATTTCGAGAGACGCCTCAAAAACCGTCTGCGTCCTCTGCATCTGGTGCCATCAGCACTGATAGGAACGCCAGGGGGAAAGTGGATGAAGGAAGCAGAGAAAGGACGTGGAGGAAGGAAGGGAGATTCTGACATGGGCAGAGGCACACGCAGCAGCATCGACAGATTCCCTCTCCCTTCTCCCCCTCCCCCCCCTCACCCCCCTCACCTCTCTCTCCCCTTTCCCCCCCTCACCTCCCTGGTGCGCCGCAGACCAAAGGCTTCAGGAATCTTCTTGGAAACAAACGCGAGCGAGCAGTAGTGGTAGCGGGCCGACGCGAGCGCAGCAGCGGTGGCGGCGGGAGAGGCGTGTGCGAGGGACAGCGAGGAGGGACCCGCAGAGACAGCAGCGGCGTGGAAGGCCATGTGGCGATGGCAGAGGGCGATGGTCTGGGCTAGAAGGGCGTCGAGAGAAGGGAGATCGTGGCGAGCGTGGGCCGACCAGACTAGATCCAGGAGGTCGAGTCCTGGGGGCGGTGGGGAGAGGTGGGGAGAGGCAGGAAGAGGTGAGAAAGGAAAACAGGAGCAGAGACAGCAGCAGCGTGGAAGGCCATGTGGCGATGGCAGAGGGCGATGGTCTGGGCGAGAAGAGCGTCTAGTGAGGGCAGATCGCTGCGAGCGTGGGCTGACCAGACAAGGTCGAGCAGGTCGAGTCCTGGCAGGGGTGGGGAGTGGTCGAAAGGACATGGGAAGTGGTGCGAAGAGGTGGGGAGAGTGGTAAGAAATGGTGGGCGAGAAGCGCGTCCAGAGAAGGCAGGTCATTGCGTGTGTGGGCCGACCAGACCAGATCGAGGAGGTCGAGCTCTGGGGGGGATGGAGAGAGGTGGGGAGAGGTGGGGAGAGGTGAGGTGAGGTGGAAAGAGATGGGACGGTTTATCGTCGAAGGTGGAGATGCGCCACACTAGCTGAAGATGAGGGGTCATGTAACCACAAGAGGGGTGATGTAACGGGGTGGGAAACAGGGAGAGTGGATACAGGCAGATCTGCCAGCATCTCATCATCTCAACAATATCTCACCACCATCACACCACCATCACACCACCATCTCACCACCATCACACCACCATCACACCACCATCACACCACCATCACACCACCATCACACCACCATCACACCACCATCACACCACCATCACACCACCATCACACCACCATCTCACCTTCGGCCTTGCTGAAAGGAGGCAGGGCGGTGAGCCTTCTCCCCACTATCGCCGACACCAACTCCTCCTCCTCCTCCTCCTCCTCCTCCTCCTCCTCCTCCTCCTCCTCCTCCTCCTCCTCCTCCTCCTCCTCCTCCTCCTCCTCCCTCTCCCTCTTCCCATCCCTCACCCTAAACCATAAACTCCCTCACCACCATCACACCACCATCTCACCTTCGGCCTTGCTGAATGGAGGCAGGGCGGTGAGCCTTCTCCCCACTATCGCCGACACCAACTCCTCCTCCTCCTCCCTCTCCATCTTCCCCTTTTCCTCCCTCGCCTCCTCTGCCTGCTCCCTGCTCCTCCCTTCCCCCCTGCCACTGCTCGCCTCTCTCTTCACTGCCCCCTCCTGCTTGCCCATAGAAGCAGCAGAAGGGGGAGCACGAACGGCGCCAGCAGCAGCAGCAGCAGGAGCAGCAGCAGGGGCAGTAGCAGGAGCAGCAGCAGGTGCAGGGGCAGGAGCAGAAGCAGCAGCAGCAGCAGCAGCAGCAGCAGGAGCAGCAGCAGCAAGGGCAGAATCAGCTGAAGAGACAGCAGCAGACGCTACTGCAACATGGGCACCTACAGTACCCTGCGCCCCTCCTTCAGCTACTGCTCCAACCGCACCCCTCCCAACCGCTTCTCCCTCCTCCACACTCCCTGTTTCCCCTCCCACACTCCCTGTCGCCCCTCCCACAACCCCTTCACCCCCCACCTCCTCCACCTTCACTCTCTTTGCACCCCTTTGCACCACATTCACACCACCCACACCCCCCACCACCTCTCCCGCTCCTGCTCCCAGCACACCACTTGTACCACCGCTTGCCTCTGCCCCTCCCTCTCCTCCCACTCCCATCTCCCTACCGCTAGCCTCCCTACTGCCTGCCTCCCTACCACCAGTCTCCCTACCGCCAGTAGCAGCTTCCCCTGGCACGAATAACAGTCGTCCTTCCTTCCTCCTCCTCTTCCCCTTCTCCTTCCCCTCTCTCCCCTCCCTGCCCCCCGTTTCCCCCTCTCCCGCGCCTCTCTTCCCCCTCTTCCCTCCCCCAACCTCCGCGCCAGCAACTGTGTCTCCCTCCCTCCCCTCTGTTCCTCCCTGCTTTTCCTCCTCTGCGCTCCCCGGCTTCTCTCTCCCTGAAACATGCACCGCCCCTTTGATTACCTCTGCGTCACCCTCTGCACCTCCCTGCTTTTCCCCTTCAGTGTCCCCCTGCTTTTCCCCTTCCGTGTCCCCCTGCTTGTCTCCCTTCATGCCCATCTCTGCTCCCCACTGTAAAACCCCCCCTTGTAACCCCACATTAGCCCCCACATTATCCCCCACATTAGCCCCCACATTAGCCCCCACATTAGCCCCCACATTAGCCCCCACATTATCCCCCACATTAGCCCCCACATTAGCCCCCACAGTATCAGTGGATTCCGCTCCCGAGGCAGGAGGAGGAGGTGGAGAGGCAGACGAGTGGCCACCAGCTGTGGTCTCCCCGGCAACAGCAGCAGCGGCGGCGGCAGCAGCGGGACTCGCAGCCATCTCAGCACCATCACCACCACAAGCGGCACCAGCACCACCATCAGCACCAGCAGTACCAGCAGCATCGGCAGCAGCACCATCAGCATCACCATCACCATCACCACCACCATCGGCACCAGCAGCCATTCCTTCCAATGCCTCTGCCAGGCCCAGCAGCCCCACCACCCCCATCTCCTCTTCCTCCTCCGCCCCTCCCTCCTCTCCTCCACCCCTTTTCGCCTCCTGTCCTTCCACTCTAATCACCTCGCCTGATTCACCCACCTCCTTCCTCCCCTCCTCACCTGCCCTAACTTCCCAGTCCCCTCCTTCATTTCCACCAGGTACCCCCACACTCTCCACCTTCTCACTCTCCATACCCTCACTCTCCACCCCCTCACTCCCTGCCACTCCCCCCACACTCCCTTCCTCCCCACCCTCCCCCCCATCCAGAGCCATATTCATATCTACCATAAACCCCTTCCTTCGCCCATCATCTCCCCTTCCCTGCCCAGCCATCATCCCTCTCTCGCTCCCCTCTTCAAACCCCGCCTGCCCCTCTTCCTGCCCCATCTCTCCTTCCTCCTGCCCCATCTCCCCCTCCTGAGTCATATTGAGATCATGCAGGAAATCCCTCCTGGGACTACTTGATTCCTTCCCCACGCCCTTCCCCTCTGCCCCGCCCTCGCCTTCCACCTTACCTCCTCCTCCTCCTCCCACCCCTCTCTCGCCCGCACCACTCAGAGCAACACCGCTCGCATCAGTGATCGTGCTGTGGTCCCGGCCTGAGTCAGCACCGCCTCGCGCTGAGTCAGCAGGGCCGCGTCCTGAGTCAGCAGGGCCCTGGTGTACGTCAGAGTGGGTCCCACTCAGAGTGAAACCACGAGCACCATCACCCGCACCAGCACCAGCTTCTCGTTCCACCCCAGTTTCAGTTTCACCTTCACCTTGTGTTTTGGCCTCAAATCGAGCTTCAAACAGGCGAGCTTCAGTTTCACCTTGCGTTTTAGCCTCAATTTGGGCTTCGCTTTCCCCTTCAGCACCAGATTCTTCATCCTCGTCTAAAGGAGCGTTCAGATCCAGTTCAAATCCGAAACCACCGCCACCGCCACCCCCGCTAGCAGCACCACCACCAGCGCCACCGCCAGCAGCACCAGCGCCATCACCTGCTTCTCCTCCTGCTGAAGCACCACCGGCAGCAGCAACAGAAGAAGTAGCAGCAGTGACTGTGGATTGAACCGCAGAGTGAGGAGCAGCAAGGGTAGCAGGAGCAGCAAGGGCGGCAGAAACGGGCGGCACAGCATGCATGGGCGGCATGGAGAGCAGATGGGGCGGGCCTGTGCGCATGTGGTGGGGTTGTGAGTGTGCCGCAGCAGAGTAACTCGTGGTATTGAGCGGCGGAGGCACGTGGGGCGCGGCAAGGAGCGGTGGAGGCACGTGGGGCATGGTATGGGGTGGTGGAACGAACTGGGGGGCCATGGGATGGGGCACAGCCACCAGCATGCCTGGGCCCATTGCTGCACTGTACTGGGGAGCTGATACTGCTGCCACAGCATTGCTATAGTGAGCGCCAGTCGCCACGGGGGCATTATACTGGGGCGGCAAAACCAGCCCCATGGGACCCCTCACCCCTCCCCCCATCCCAGGCGCAAACCCAGCAGCAGGCGGGGATGTGACCGGGTTAATGGTCAGAGGGACAGGTGCAGCGGCAGCTGTAGCAACAGCTGTAGCAGCAGCTGTAGCAGCTGTCGCGGCGGCTGTAGACGCAGTTGCATCCGCACTGGCAGCAGCGGTAGCAGCGAGGGAGGTGGGCGAGGAGAGGGAGGTGGCGTCATCAGGACAGGCGTTTAGATCCAGCCCTGCAAACGCTGCTGCCGGCTTGCTCGCAGCTGCTTGTGCTGCTGGTGCAGCAGAAGGTATGCAGAGAAGACCAGTTGTAGCAACAGAGGTAGGAGCAGCTACGACCGGTGCTACAGTACTCGCTACAGCACTGTGCGTTACAGTGCTGGCTGCTACAGTGCCAGGAAAAGGAAGAGAGACAAATCCTTGGCCTAGAAGCGGAATCGCCGTGGACTGGCCTGCTGACGCGGACTGCCCTGATTGGCCTACCACAGGGGCAAAATGCGGCCGAGCCATGTGCTGGCTTGGCAGCTGGTTCGGCGCTTGGCTCGGCACCAGTGTTCCCGCTTGCTGAAAGGCGGGGGGGAAGCCAGAATGCATGGGGAAGGGGGAAGGCGCGGAGCTAAGGGGAGCGGAGGTCGGGGGGGGAGCAAGGGGGAAAGGGGGTTGTGGGGAACGAACTAGGTTAGCAGATAGCTGGGGCGCAGTGGAGGAGAGGTGGGATAGCAGTTGACCGCCCAGCATTGGGAAGGGCCTTATCATACCAGACACACTGTGACCCACCATGCCTGCACTGCCCTGGCCGCCCATTGCTACAGTGCCCTGACCACCCATTGCTACAGTGCCATGACCACCCATTGCTACAGTGCTCTGACCGCCCATTGCTACAGTGCTTCCTTGTCCTGGCTGCTGCGGCCGCTGCTGTGATGGCTGTTGTGTTGGTTGTTGTTGGTACGGAGCTTGTAGAAACTGCTGCGGCTGAGCCTGATACTGCGTAGCCTGCTGTTGCTGCTGGTACTGACTCGGCTGTGGGAAAAACTGCGGCTGCTGCTGCTGCTGCTGCTGCTGCTGCTGCTGCTGCTGCTGCTGCTGCTGCTGCTGCTGCTGCTGCTGCTGCTGCTGCTGCTGCTGCTGCTGCTGCTGCTGCTGCTGCTGCTGCTGCTGCTGCTGCTGCTGCTGCTGCTGCTGCGACTGCTGCTGCTGCGGCGGCTGCGGTTGCTGCTGGTACTGCAAAGGTCCTCCCTGATATTGCGCCTGAAACTGCGGCTGCTGCTGCTGAAATAGCTGCTGACCTGCTTGTATCTGCTGCGGCTGCTGCTGCTGTGACTGCATTAGTCCAGAAGCGGAAGCGGAAAACGCGGAAACGGGGCGAGCGGAACCAGCGGAAGCGGATTGCGCGCCATAAGCGGGCGGAAAGGACGCGGGGATGGACAGCAGCGGGGTGGCTGCTGATGCGGGATACGCGGAAGGTCGCGCGGCGAACGGCGCAACGGCTGACGGGGGAGGCTGTGCGGCGAACGGCGCCGGCGCAATCGCAGTTTGCGTGGATGACGCATTGGCCATGATAGGCTGCGCGGAACTGGCTGGCGGAGCGGCGGAAACTCCCTGCGGAAGCGGATGCGCGGAGAAGCCTCCCGCGCGATCTTCCTCCGCCGCTTCCGGCGCGGGAAGATTCATGTCTTCTAGGAAAGCGAGCGGCCTACCGCCTCCGCTTCCTCCCCCGCTCGACGCCATGTTGCAATCGAAACTGCTGAAACCGCGTCCAGATCAGTGCATTGGCAAAACGAAATCGGTACGGTGGAATACGGTACGACTATTCTTACTGGCGTCGACGCGTAACGAGACTACCGGTTTCGCGCACGCACTAGGCATTGCCAGAGTCTGGTGGATGCAAGACAGACGTATGAGGAAAGAGATACGGAGAAATTCTGTCAGTGGTGAGTCTAGCAAATGTAAATGTCTTGGCTTGGCCCCGCCTAGCCTGACACCCAACCACTGACCTGACAAAAAGTGCTTCGGCAGGTTGATCCCTCGAGATTGGGTTGGTGAGGTGACATTGCAGGGGAGGTAAATTTGATATACGTACAGTAATTTTTTTCTCCAATATATGTTTGAGATCTATAAATGTTTGATCACGTTACAAATACTTCAAATTTACAAGTCCCCAAATCTGCTAAAGACCAGAAGAACAAAATGAGACGCGGTATAAATTGTGCCGTGCACTATACCGTACTAGATATCCGGTTGACTGCTTCTACTCAAACTGGCCCAAACCACATGGCCGAGTCCCAAAAATGAGCAATGCTCTTGGAGTGAGCCCGTATGTTCTATCCATCCATGCGTAACCAACCAACCTGCACCCATGAAGCAGCTGAGGTAGCTACTAGCATATCATACAGCCAAGCCAGTGCTGTGCTATGGTGGAAGGCTGAGAGCACATCAGAGCATGCTGTGGTGGCACATAATGGCATGTGGTGGTGGGGCACTCCCAGGCACACACTGGTGGCGCCACATCACGGCATGCTGTTCAGGTCGAAGTCCCACTCGGAACGCTTCCCTTGTCTTCTGCTGTGGTGGCGCCACTTCATGGCATGCTATTCAGGTCAAAGTCCCATTCAGAGCGCTTCTCTTGCCTTCTGCTGGACCTCATTCCTGACCAACCACCGCTCTGCTGCCTCTCTCCTTGTGAAACGGTCAAAGGCATACCTCCTTTTCCTCCCATCCCCCCCATCCCACCCACACCTCCCATACCCCAGCCCGCCACGCCCCTCCCGTTGCCCGACAACCCCCCCTGACCTGCCTGCTGCTGCCCTCGTGTCTCTCCCAGCAACCCTTCTCGCCTTGCCCCCCCAGCCCCCCCTGCTCCCCCTGTTCCCCCCTGCCTGCGGTGGAAGCTATAGTCCCCATAGCTGCTCCCGTAGATCCTGTCAGACCCCCACATGAACGCCTGCCACGCATCAAACCCCAGCGCATCCAACCCTAACGAATCTAACCCAAACGAATCTAGACTCAGCCCCAAACCAGTCCCCCCAGGAACACTCTTCTTGCTCTCCTGAGCTACCCCTACTCTCTCTCCTCCAACCGCACTGCTGCGCGCATCCCACTGCCCTGGCTCCACACGATCACTCGCACTCACAGGCATCGCCCTGCTCTCGCCTCCCGCGCCTGCTGCTCTCCCCACAACAGGCCCCACCCGGTCGGCCCTGTCCGCCCGCCCCACCCTATCCGCCCGGTTTGCGCGCTCCTCCCTGCTCCCAGCCACAGCCACAGCAACGCGTCTGAGCGGCCACTCGTAGAAATTCTCAAGGAAGACCGCGTTGAGGTCCAGATCGTCCTCTCCGCTCACGCCCTCCTCCCATCTTGATGCATTTGCACTGAGATCTGCCACTCCGGTTGCTGCTGCTGCAGCTGCTGCTGCTGCTTCTGCTGGTGCTGTAGGTGTTGCTGTTGCAAGTGGGTCGAAGAATTTAGCTTCCCCGGCGGTACTGCCAGCAGCAGATGCGGGGGTAACAGCAGGCGGCGCTGCAGTAGCAGCGGCAGTAGAACGAGCAGATTCAGTAGCCACGTGGCGTTTGAGGTCCAATCGGACGGCTTCCAGCCTTCTGGCCGCGTCAGCATGAGCAGCAGAATCGGGCAGCGCAGATGAGAAATATTCGTCTGGCACAGGGGAAGCAGAGGTTACGTCGTGAAACCCGCCCACGCTACGAGCAGCGGAAGCAGCAGGGGCACCATTCACATAAGTAGGGCCTAAGGGCGGCGCACTAGCGACAAACGCCTCGTTCCATGCTTTCATCTCTGAGCTTGCACCTGCGACTGCACCTGAAGCTGCCGCTACACCTTCCTCCGCCTTCAGCATTCCAACTCTATCAAACCTTGTGACGCTAGTACGCGCGCTACCACTGATAGGTCTATTAGCCCTTGGCACACCACTCACGGCGCTATCCCCGACAGGGACTGCTTTGGTAAAGGCGGGTGTTCTGCAAGCAGGGCAGGTGCCGTTGCAACACTCGTACACGCGCATGCCCCTGCTGCCGATACTGCTGCCGATGCTGCTGCGGATGCTGTGCACACCACTCCTAGAATTATGTACATTGGAATGTTCGGCGGCAGCAGCCGCAGCGGCAGCAGCAGCAGCAGCAGTTGCACCGTTTACAGAATGGAAAGCATCCGCGCCATAAGCAGCTGCGGCCGCTTCGCTATGGTTGTACGCACTGACGTCAGCAGCTGCTCGTGGCCGATGGTTGGTATCACCCACGATTCGTCCAACTGTCTCGGTAGCAGCCGAATCGATGCTAGGGTTCAAATTTATCTCTGCGTCTGCTCCGTTATGGCTGATTCCATTGGCTACTCCGCTCAGGCTACTCTCGCTGTCCCCATCCGACGCATATCCGTTCGACGCATATCCAATTCCCAGCTCGTCGTCGCTCACCCCCTCCCACCGCTCAAATCGCCCGTTCCGCCTACCGAATTCCTCCCCTGCAGTGTACCGGTCTCCCTCGTGCCATGATGCGTTATCTCTGTACACGCTATAATCTGCTTTGACGGAAGCGACTCTACCAGGGACGGGCGGTACGCCAGAAAAGGGGGGCTGGCGGCGGCCCTGGGGTGGCGGAGAAGGGGGAGGGGGAGGAGGGGCGGAGGCGAATGGGGGAGCGCGCGGGTGCGCGGGGAAGGGCGCGGAGTGCGGTTGGCGCGGAGCGTTGGTGGCGGAGATGAGGGTCATGGCGCCGAGGGCGGGGAGGAGAGAGAGGAGCGCGATGGAGCCCAGACGCCATGTGAACTGGTGAGGGATGGCCGGGGAGAGAAGAGAAAAGGGACGGACGAAGATGTGAGGCCTTGGACACAGCCCGAGAAGAGACGGCGGGAAACTGAAGAAGAAATGCGCGATGAGGGAGAGAGGGACAGAGCGACAGAAGAAAACATGGGGTTTGGGGGGGTGGTAAAGGGGGAGGAAAGTATGCATTCGCTGATACCCGCCGATGTCACGAACGACAACAGGAACAAGGGCGGCATGAGCGCTTCGTGGGAGCGGAAGGAGGGAGGGCAGAAATCCTGAGAGCCTCGAAAACAGAAATCTCACCTCGAAGACGCCTCGCAGCAGCCACACTCCTGAGAGCAGCAGAGCGCCGTCCACGACGGCCTTAATCTGACGACGAACATAGGAAATGAGAGGGGAGGGGGAGAAGACGAGGTTCGGTGTTTAAACTGCCTTGACCACTCAGCACCGCAATATGACACACGAAGCACCGCGGAAAGACGTACGAAGCACCCGAAATTACTCACCAGTGTCGTTTGGGAAGTCGACGGTAGCGCGGCAACGATGGTGGCGCTGAGCGACGCTGCCGCTCGGCGGAAGAAGCGGACTACGCGAAAGATCGCGAGCAGCACGAGATCCGCGAAACCTCCCTCGGAACCGGGCGAAATGTTACCAGCATAATATTTCGCAGACAACGGCTCGAAGAACGACCAAGCGCCGACGCCGCCGCCGCCAGCGCCGCTTCCGCTCTTCAAAGCAATCCATTCCCACACGCGGCCCGCGGCACGCTTCCACTCCTCGCCGCCCTCGTTAGGCCCCTCGAAAACCACCTCCGGCTCAAATGCACGCTCGGCCTCGGAGTATCGCCGCTGCTGCTGTTGCTGCTGCCGTTGCTGCTGCGATTGCTGCTGCGCTTGCTGCTGTCCTTGCTGCTGCCCTTGCTGCCGCACCTGCCGTGCCTGTTGCGCCTGGCTCCGCTCCCGATGCTTCCGGCGCAGCTCCTCCGCCCGGAACCGCGCACTGCCGGTCCTCCGCGCCCCGCTTCCCCTACTTCCCCCGCTACTCCGCGCGCTCCGCCTCACCGTCATGTCCTCCAGATTATCCAGCTCATCCCAGCCGTTAGCAACGGATCGAACAGATCCTGGTGACGTGGCTGGTCTTTTGTCTTGAACGGACCCCTGCAGGGATGCGGCGTCGGTAGCTGGAGATACCACCGTTCGACCTTCTTCAATAGATGACCGGTGCTTGCCAGCATGAGCATGATTTCGTCCTCGTTCAGTCGAGTGAGAATGCCGGGAGGACGCTGGCAGCGTGTGCTGGGAGGATGCTGACGGCACTGACGGATTCAGTCTGCCACGGTAACGCTGGGTGAACGCCGGTCTGACTGAAAGCAAGCCGGTGTGAAAGCACGGCGAGGCGGGACGCGGAAGCGGACTACGGAGTGACGGCTTGAGAGAGCGGTCTGGAAATGAGTTGACTGGGCAGTGGTGCGGTGTGTCGGTTTGGGTAGGAGAAGCGACGGCGAGAGAGGAGAGCGAGCACGAAGCCGAGGAAGACATGGCTGTGTCCTGCTCCGTTCACCGCGCTTCAGCTGCAAGTGTGCTTTTGCTCAAGACCTGTCCAGTCTGCGTTTACGACGTCGTAATATCCGCTGGGCCGGCACTTCAAAAGCCGGAGCACGAAATAAAGAGCAGTTCACGAGTTCGATAGTGAGATGCCGTTGCTGACATAAAAAGAAAGGTCGAAAGAAAGTAGAGAGCGACGAGCTGGGCTTGGAGAGTTGTTGAAGCAGCCACAAATGAATGACAAGAAATGGATTGTGGAGAGGTCAGTCTGGATAATCCCAAGGTGGCGGTGAGTTTGAATCTGCCACCAGTCACACAGACAGCCTGGGCAAGCATGCATGGATGAGAGGGGCACACTTGAACAGCTCATCTCACCCCCATCCCATCCCACCCACACCACACCACACCCATCCCACCCGCTCGATGAACTCTGGAGTTGACCTGAATGCTGTGGTCACACAGAATTCTCGGTGATCCTCATATGTGTACGAAACGCCGCTTCGGGTCGTTTTGTTCCGTTTGATGCCTGAGATTGATTCGCTTCTCCTGAGGTTTCCCCGCCAGAATTTCTAAAGCACGCTTCATCCGCAGAAATTCCAGTTCCTGGGAGCATTTTTTGTGGCAAGATCTTTGTGGAAGGCAGGCCTTGATAGTTATGATATGATTGGGCAGGCAGCGCATTCGGCGTGGAATTGTGTGAACGCAGCCAATCCAAATGCTTGTCGCGGTCAGGAAAGGAATAACCAATGGTGGACGTCCGTCTCTCCATCATTCCTACATCAGCCGCCAGTCACGCGCCGTAGCCAGCAGGAAGATGGCTCGCTCCGCGTAGACAAACAACTAGAGCGCGCCAAGCTCCATTAGTTTCGCTTTAGTGTCGTCAGCTTTGCTTGTGACATTTGCACCTTTGCCATATATTGAAACAAAGCAAGCTAACTACTGGTACCTTACTAGTGCTGAAATAAATATCAAGTGATTTAAACAGCTTACAAATGACATTCCTCAGCAGTCTTTTATCTAGCATGTTTGGTGTAATTCATCTACCGTATTCTAAAAGCCCTTAATTATTGCAATATGTAGCCAAACATCCCTAGTCACAAAATTGCCTATGTCGTGTAACGTCTTAGTGGACAGGCAATTTGAGTTGGAGTTCTTGGCAGCCGCTTCTCCCCTTCTTTGTGCCATGCTAGCCCCTGAGGGAGACCTCGAAGCCCTTGACATACCGACTCATCGCACGTACTACGAGGCAGTGTCATGGGAGTGAGCTTCACAGTAGATAGCTGGCATCGACTCATGTTGAAATATGTGCTATAGCTTAGGAACCATGGAAAATTAGGGTTCTAAGAACCTAGCCCATGAAGGGGTGTCAACGAGAAAGTTGGCCAAAAGAGGAGTGCACTATAGGTTATAGCACGTGGGTACAAGTTAAAGGCACTTCATAAATGGCGTTTCTGGTATCCACATGCACTTATGCCGACGCAGTTCCCCCGTATGGGGTGAACATAGTTGACGGTATGTGGATCTTCAAGGTGAAGCGGCCGACGGGATCACTGCCTGTCTTCAAGGCGCGCTAGCTAGAGGGCTCTATCAGCGTGAGGAGGTTGATTTTTTCCATACCTTCGCCCCAACCCCAAATATGACTTATCTTTGGGTGATACTTCACGTTGCATCACAGCGAGACTACGAGTTGCAGTCACTCAACTTCTCCACTACCTTTCTCCAGGGCTGCATACACGAGGAGATATGGCTGCGCCATCCTCATGGCTTCACTGACACTTTCCCTTGTGACCCCGTGGAGCCTGAGCGACCAGTCTACAATCTCCCCCAGGCGCCCTGTGAGTGGTACGACACGCTACGCACCACTCTTGCTGGCCTTGGTTTACGTCTTTCTGTCGAGCAATATATGTTTATATATTGTTAGTAACTGGCTGTAGAAGTATTTACTGTTGTTGTTCTGTTGATGTGTGTGGTGGTGTACCACAATCTCATGCCTATTTGTACTACTAATTCTATAGCGCAACCCCCCTTCTTTGGCCAAAACCCCCCTCTCGCTACTACTCTTGTTCCTAAACCTAGGTTCCCTAGCAACCTACCATTTTAATGTCAAACATTAATCATATAGCTTGTCTAGGCTATAGTGGGGTAGACACTAAAGGGTACAGTTTCCTAGGGTTTCCCACTTTGTACCCAACCTTGTTCTAGTTCATTCATTCCTCTTTCTTCACATGGTATAGAGCGGGTTCCCTAGTGGGACCGTTTCTTCCTAAGGGCCCACCATTTTTTTTTTTTTCCCTAACCTGCCCGAAGCGCGCTTCGCGCTCTGCCCTGCCCTACCCTTTCGCGGCCCCTTAGCGGCCTGCCCTGCTCCTTAGGCCCGTCGCGGCCCCTACGCGGCCCCTTCGCGGCCCCCTTCGCGGCCCCTTCGCGGCCCCTTAGCGGCCCCCCCTCGCGGCCCCCTTCGCGGCCCCTTAGCGGCCCCTTCGCGGCCAATTCGCGGCCCCTTAGCGGCCCCTTCGCGGCCCCTTAGCGGCCCCGCCCCGTTGCCCGTAGCGACCCCGTCCCGTCGCCGGTCACGGCCCCGCCCCGTCGCCACCCGGGTGTCGCCCCTGCCTCGTCGCGACGCCCCTGCGGGACCCGCGCGGCGTCGCCCCTGCCCGCCGCGGCTCTAAGCCGCCCCGTCGTCGCCACCCCTGCAGCAGCTGCCATCGCCCCTGCTGTCGCCGTAGCGGCCCTGCCGCCCCGTCGTCGCCGTCCCTGCAGCAGCTGCCGTCGCCGTCCCTGCTGCAGCAGTAGCTGCCACCGTAGCGGCCCTGCTGCTACTGCCGAGCCTGCAGCCCTGCCCTGCTGACGCGCCCCGGCCCAGCCCCACCAGTAGCGGCCCACCTCTTCCGCCACTGGTAAGTGCACCGCCGCACCCGCGTGCTGCTGCACCCGCGCCGCCCTGCCTAGCCGAGCCGCCCTACCGAACCGCCCCGCCCTGCCGAGTCGTGCTGCTACTGCTGCTGCTGTAGCCAGGCCACTACTGCTGCTCCTGCTGCTATGGCAAACCCTAATGTACTCACATTCGATGCTGAGGGTCGAGCGGTCGACTTTGAGGTCTGGGTAGATGATCTGCAGCTTTTCCTACAGTGCGATAGCAAGGATGGCCTCTCACTGTTCGATCTCACGTCTGGCGCCTCTACTGCCCCTGCTGCTGATGTTGACAATACTGTTCGCTCGCAGTGGACCACGCGCGATGCTGCTGCCCGCCTTGCTGTGCGTAGTCACGTACCGTCCACTGAGCGCGCGCACTTTAGTCAGTACAAGAGTGCTAAGACTCTGTACGACGCTGTAGTTGCACGCTACTCCTCCCCTGCCACTGCTGCCCTTAGTCGCCTCATGCTGCCGTACCTGTTCCCTGACCTCGCCGCCTTTGCCACAGTCGCTGACCTCATTACGCACCTCTGCACTAGTGACACCCGTTACCGCGCTGCGCTTCCTGCTGAGTTCTGCGCCAAGAACCCCCCCCCCCCCCCCCATATACATCACCCTCTACTACCTAGTCACCCGGCTCCCTGACTCCCTTCGCTCGGTCAGGGACCACTTCCTCTCTGTTTGCCCCACCACACTCACTGTTGACCTCCTCGAGGAGCGCCTCCTTGCAGCTGAGAAGAGTATAGTCGCTGTAGGAGCCTCTCGTGGTGACCCTCGTGCCCCTTTCTTTGAGGGGTGCTCCCCTGTCCCCCTTTTGCCCTTTGTTGCCTCTGCTGCTGCTGTCGACCTTGTTGGCACCGAGTCGCTCAGCGCTGCGTCTGCTCCTAGTGGGAGGCGCCGCAACGGCAAGGGCAAGGAGGGCAAGGGCGCTGGAGGAGCTGGCGGGGGCGGCGGTGGTGGCGGTGGAGGTGGCGGAGGGGGTGAGGGTGGGAGTGGTGGCGGGGGTGGGGGCTTCGGTGGCGGCGGTGGAGGTGGAGGCGGCGGCGGCGGCGGCGGTGGGGGTGGAGGCGGCGACGGCGGCGGCGGAGGCGGAGGTGGAGCTGGTCGGGGTGGAGCTGTGCAGCGAGGAGACTTTGGTGGTGGTCAGTGCCAGCAGCAGCAGCGCTCTCGTGAGACTCCGTCGCCCCAGCAGCTTCGTGAGTGGTACGCTGCACGCCAGCGGCCTGGGGGTACTGGTCCCTGTACCTACGTCCTGCGTATAGGCGACCGCACTGGGGAGCCGTGCGGCGGGCCGCACGCCACCCAGCGCTGCTTTGGCCGCCTGACGGGCGCCTGGCGTATCCAGTTCCCTCACGCCACTGAGATCCCTCGCTGGGGTGATCTGCTCTCAAGTCTGGTGTAGCTATCTTTGATCTTGATTATGATGCTATTCTTGCTGCCATGTATGTTGTGTCTACTAGTGCTGAGGGTGACTGTTACCTGTGTGTTCCGCCTGACCCGGGCATTGAGGCCGCTGCTCTAGGTGCTTGTGAGTCTGCTGCTTCAGGTGCTGGTGAGTCTGCTCTCTCAGGTACCGCGTCGGCCCAGGTTTTGCACACCTTCACCCTCGACTCGGGTGCTTCCCGCTCCTTCTTTCGGGACCGCACCACACTCACGCCGCTCAGTCGGCCGGTTGCAGTCTCCCTTGCAGACCCCTCTGGGGGTCCTGTCCTTGCCCACTACTCCACTGTCCTACCGTGTCCGGTGGCCCCTTCTGGCTCTCTGTCGGGTCTTTACCTCCCCTTGTTCTCTACGAACTTGGTGAGTGGTGCTGACCTACAGGATGGGGGGGTTGACCAGTTCACTCCTGCGAGTCAGCGAGTGACCCACTGCACGTGTGCTCGGACGAGCCGACACTTGGCCACATTTACCCGTCAGCCGGGGTCGAGCCTGTACACACTGACTACCGAGTCTCCTCCGGTTCCTGCGTCTGGCCAGGTAGCTGCGTCGGGTCAGGTGTTTGCTGCAGCGTCCAGGTCTGGTCCTGAGTCTGCCCCCTGCTCGTGTCGTCTCCTGTCTCACCAGACTCTCCTCTGGCACCA